TGACTATAGAAACAATAAAAAATAAGTTGTGAGGAACAGAAGACTTTAAGTGAATTTAAAGACAAGTGGAAGGTTTTGGTGGTGGCAACCAAGATCCACAATCTCCACCCAGGAGGCACAGCCTCTAACTCCAGGGCTCATGAGTCTGAAGCTCCAGGGGTCCCAAAGTATGACAGACCTGCTCAGGTGACACGATGAGACCTCAGCTCAGCTAGCAATGGCGAAGGGCTGCTGAATGGCGAGTCCCCTCTGCTGGCCACACGGCAGGCATGGAGGAGAGCATCCGTGCTGGTCAGGATGGAAGGGCTGTAGACCCCGCCCAGTGGGAATACAAGCTGGTGGAATACTCCGGAAGGCAAGTGGGTCTCCCACATCCGGAATCCACTCTTCACAAGCGCTGTGATAAAAGTATTTGTTTTTCAGGCAGACTTTCACTGTGGAGACCAGGTTGGCCTGGAACTTGCCATCTTCTGCTTCTTCCTTCTGCTAAGATGACAGTGCCATCACGCCTGGCATATCTGCTTTTATCGAAACTTAAGTTCTATCATTTATTTGTAACTCATTTTATGCATTTACTTATATGCATGTACAAGTATGTGTGTGTATAGATATGGATGGTATGTGCATGTGGCATGTGTGTGTACAGGTATGTATGATCTGTGTGTATGCTTATGTGTGTATAGGTTAGTATAGTGTGTATGCACGCGTGTGTACAGGTTTGTATGGTGTGTGTATGTGTGTGTAGGAATGCATACACCACATCACATATGGAGGTCAAGGACAACCTGGGGTGCTAGTGTACCTCTTCCCTTTGCTTGATGTGAGGAGGGGGGGTGTCTCTGTGTTGTTTATTGCTGAGTCCATACACCAGGATAGGGGCCTAAGAGCTTTCAGGGATCTTCGGTCTCTGCTTCCCATCTGCCGCAAAAGCACTGTGATCACAGTACAGCTTTCCCACTCAGCCATCTCCTCAGCCTGCCACAGTGTTTTTTCTGAAACGGAATCTGTTTGTTTGTTCGTTTGTTTTGTGATTTGGAACCTCAGGGATCTTCGTGACTCTCCCTCCCTGGAGCTGGGATGATGAGCAGGTGCCCGAACACTTGGGTTTTCCTTGAGTTCTGGAACCTGAACCTAGGTTCCCATACTTGCAGGGTAAGTGCTTTTCTGAGTGACCCATCTTTCGGGCCTGTCATTGAGATGGAGGTCTTGATATGTTGTAAAGATGCCTCAGTGTCCCAGGCTGAGGTTACTATAGATGCGTACCTCTGTGCCCAACCTCCCACAGACAAGTACTGAGAAAAAACTGCATGTCTCTGTGCCAGGCACTGGGCTAGTTAGTGAAGATTTTAGCATAAAAAAACATTCTTTCCCCTGTCCCCAGCTGGTTGGTTTCTCCCCATGTGTCTTGAAGTTCAAAGCCAGCCTGAGTTACAGAGCAAGAAAGACCTTGCCTGACCCCTCACACAGACTCTGCAATACACACACATTCAGCAATGCAACTGATAATATATGCAACCTGAAGTTCAAAAGCATTGCGATATGTGCCTGGAACAAAAGCCCAGTTAGACTGTATAATCCATTTTTCTCATTCCAGAGAAGAGAAAATAATAGGGACAGAATCAGATCAGTGATTGCCTCTGGGAAATGGGTGCAGGTGGTGAGAAGTTTGAGGCAAGCAAGTACTTTTTGGAGTATTTATTTGTATTCTATATTTGATTGTTTGCATTGTGGTTACATACTGTTTGTCAAGACTCAGAATTGTACACCTCAAAAAAAAGTGGATATTCAGCCATACATGCTGGCTTATGCTTGACTGTCGGCACTTGAGAGGGAGAGGCAGGAGCATTGCCAGAGCTCTAGGCTAATCTGAGCTATGGAGTGAGTTCCAGGCCAGCCTCAGATACAGCATAAGACCTTGTCTCAAGAGCCGGGCTGTGGTGGCGCACGCCTTTAATCCCAGCACTCGGGAGGCAGAGGCAGGCGGATCTCTGTGAGTTCGAGACCAGCCTGGTTTACAAGAGCTAGTTCCAGGACAGGCTCCAAAACCACAGAGAAACCCCGTCTTGAAAAACAAACAAACAAAAAAGACCTTGTCTCAAAAAAAGCCTCCCCTCAAAAGAGTGGATATGTCTTTGCTTAGTTTATGCATTGACCATTTAACCCAGATTTCCAAAATCTGGACAGGAGAATGCCCTATAATACTAAGTGTTGTGTATACAGCTGGCCCTCCTCACCCAGGAGAATACCCTATGATACGAAGTGTAGCGTATACAGCTGGCCCTCCTCTTCCAGGAGTCACACATCCACCTCTTACCCTGCATTGAAGGAGGTCGTTGGGTGGAGGCTGGGGGTTGCTTCTGCAGACTTTATTTCCTTGTCCTTAGTCCATGCAACACTATTATATTTACATAGCAGTAAAATTGCGTTGGGTACTGTAAATAACCTAAAGATGATTAAAGCCTACAGAATACACGCATGCTATAGCACATTCCTTGTAAGACTGGAACAGCTTACAGACACTGGAGTCTGTAAGCATCCTGGGAACAGTCCCCCCAGAATACAGAGGGGCCACGGTTTGGAGCTGTAGTATAGCGCCTAATAATGGATTATCAACAGATAAATGCTTTTGGATTCTATGCCACGTTCGTATAGCAGGGAGAGTGATATTTCAGTAAACACAGTATCTTTATCTGTGTGCATCCTAAACTTTTTTTAATTGCAGGAGTACTGAGCACTTCTAAAAAGTTCAGTGGCTGTTCTGTCTAAAGGAATAAAGCTCTACACTAGGAGAAAGACAAGGCAGGCCTAGGTTATTAACCCAGAAGCTCAGGGATAAGCCAGACACGGGGCGGGGGGAGGGGGGGAAGTCCTGCACTGGTTTCTAATCTTGGAGCCTCGGTCCAAGCCCGCGGGAGGTCACTGTGTCAATAACAGGTGTGATGGGGTTTGGAAGGAAGTTCTAAACGGATTGTTTGATCTTACTCAGACTTTTGTGGCTGAGGATGAGTCAACATTAACTTAATTAAAACTCCTGGAGAATAGCTGAGAATGAGAGGTCCGCCTGGGCTGCTGCCAGAGACTCCAGGTCAGCGCTGGCTGCTCCCGCCTACATTCGCACTGCTCCATCCTCATTAGCCGCTGGCCCGTGAGCCCGGCACCCATTGGCTGTTCAGACAATGTGCTTCTCTCATAAGAGGCGGCTCCTCTGGTCTTCAGGCGACCCTCTGAACTCTGGTGCCTCTGAGGTGAGTGGAGTGATGGGCTGGCTCCTTCCCGGAAACCCGTTTCTGGGGTCTCCCGGTAAGAACAGGTCTAACCTCCAGAAGTAGCCGGGTGGAAGTCCTACCCCTGTGGGGTTCCCTCTTCTTTCCTTGTAGCTTCTTTGGGGGACAGAAGATCCTATTCTTTAGGATCTTCTATGTGCCAGAAGCAGACTCTTTCCCTTGTCGGATTTGGGATTTACAGGGAACCCTGTGAGGTAAATACATATTGTATTTTATAAATAAGGATGGATCTGGGGATTTCGAGTGGGAACCCAAGTCTGTGTGACTCCTTGCCAACAGAAACAAACACATTAACCTTTCTTTTCCATTTAAGGGTAGCTCTCTTTTCTTTCTCTCTCTTTGAAGGGAGCCCTTCCTTAACCTCCACCAAAGGGGAGTCTCAGATGCTAGGCCTCTCAGCACCACACCTGCACTCTGTACCCCGTCCCAGGTCACAGCTGGCAGAGGCATAGGTCCTTCCTTGAGACTCGGGGCTTGTTTATAGTGCAGGTAAACTTAAACGTGATGAAATGTAACTGTCTGATTTTCAGAGGTGTGAAGTGTCCTGGCCATCTTGGAATGGAGGTGGAGGGGACAAGCCCCACATGCTCCAGGGTCACACACTTGGTCACTGGAGTTCACCTGTGCATGTGTTGTAGCTACTGCCCTAGATCACTGCAATCATCCAGAGGGATGCCTTTCTCGAGGGTTCTTTTATCTTCGGTGTGCTTGCTTAAGCCTATTTGTATTCCATCTCCACTTCTTTCCCTAAGGAAACAAAAAGTTGGTTTGTGCACACCCTTCACTATGCTCTGCTGAGGCCACTGGTCAGCTGACCTCCTTAGCAGGTCTTATTTCCAGTGCTGGGTCCTGCACACTGGGGCATCTTCATTCAGATGAGCGGGGTTGCTGTCGTTGAAACTGACTCCTTACCTTCCAGGGTGATCTTCTGCCCTTGAAGGTAAACCTCTCCCTTTGTGGGTGACCCTCCCTTTTATTATACCTGGCCGGAAAGGGGCTCGAAGGGGAATAGAAGGCTAAACCTGGAAAGAAATACCAGAGAAAATGTTAAGGTTCTGGCAAGGGCTTTGGGATTGCTGAATGAATGCCCTTAGGCTAGGCAGATCAACAATGCTGTGGGAATGTGGCTGTCGGCACAGCCACCTGAATACACTAGGCCAGGCCTCAAGTGTCCAGGACAGCAGAGGGATGTGCGCTGTCAAAGACCCAGTGTCAACATGTGTCCTCACCTCCTACAGCTGTGTGACCATAGCTATGTTAGTCTTTTAAAGTTCTAGTTGAGTTTACAAATAAAACAGAAGGCCTGGTCCCCACTTTGAAGGAGCTTTACTTCATTTTCGGGTACAAGACATATACGTATGAAGCAGGTGGGGAGGCCACCCAAATTCTGATGGGAGACGAGGTAGACCCTCACAGAGGACTTCGTTTGCAGCTTGAAATAAGCAGGGGGCCTGCCAGAGGCTGGAGGGCTTGATCAGTGCCCTCCGAGGTCAGAAAGAAAACAATGGAAAGTTCTGACACCCATCAGGTGCCCTTGCCTTTCTGGGCACTCTGATAGGGGGTGTCTCACTTTCTGGCCCCACTGCTCCCTCAAAAAGCCTGTCAGACCCATGAGTTTTGCAGGTGAAAAAAATGGGAGCAGGGAGGTGGAGGAAGTCACCGCTGCTGCCCTGCTCCCGTGCTCAACCCTCATCTGAGCTTTCCCTCTCCAGACACACCATGATTGAAGACAAGGAGAACAAAGACCGGTCCTCGGAAAGGAGCAGAGTGACTCTCATTTTGTCATTAAAGAATGAAGTTGGAGGACTCATAAAAGCACTAAAAATCTTCCAGGTATGGCTTTCCCATAAAACCCATCTGAAAACCAGTCTCTGAAATGCTATTGAGAGTGTAAGGTTCTCTCAGTCAGTTCCTCAGAGATGGCCTTCAGAAGTCTCTTTTTAAATTGATTTTTATTGAGCTCTACATTTTCCTCTGCTCCCCTCCCTGCCTCTTCCCTCCCCCATCCACCCTCTTCAAAGGTCCCCATGCTCCCAATTTACGCAGGGGATCTTGTATTTTTCTACTTTCTACTTCCCATGTATATTAGATCTATGTAAGTCTCTCTTAGTGTCCTCATTGTTATCTAAGTTCTCTGGGATTGTGATTTGTAGGCTGTTTTTCTTTGCTTTATGTTTAAAAACCACTTACGAGTGAGTACATGTGATAATTGTCTTTCTGTGTCTGTGTTACCTCACTCAAAATAATGTTTTCTAGCTCCACCCATTTGCCTGCAAAATTCAAAATGTCATTATTTTTTCTGTTGTGTAGTACTCCTTTGTGTAAATGTACGACATTTTCCTTATTCATTCTTCAGTCGAGGGGCATTTAGGTTGTTTCCAGGTTCTGGCTATGACAAACAAAGCTGCTATGAACATAGTTGAGCACATGTCCTTGTGGCACGATTTGAGTATCATTTGGATATATACACAAAAGTGGTATTGCTGGGCCTTGAGGAAGGTTGTTTCCTAATTTTCTGAGAAATCACCACACTGACATCCAAAGGGGTTGTACCAGCTTGCATTCCCACCAGCAATGCAGGAGTGTTCCCTTTTCCCCACAATCTCTCCAGCATAAGTTGTCATCAGTGTTTTTGATCTTGGCCATTCTTACAGGTGTAAGATAGAATCTCAGAGTTGTTTTGATTTGCATTTCTCTGATGAACATTTTCTTAAGTGTCTTTCAGCCATTTTAGATTCCTCTGTTGAGAGTTCTCTTTTAAGGTCTATACTCCATTTTTTTTTTATTAACCACTTACTTTACCAGTTCAGGGAGTGTTGTTCAGGGAGTGGAGACACAGCTCAACAGGTAAAATCGCTTTCTGTTCTTGCAGAAGACACAGGTTCAGTTCCTAGCACCCACACCAGGCAGCTCACAGCTATCTCTAACTCTAGTTCCAGGGGATCTGATGTCCTCTTCTGGACACTGCACACCTCTAATGCACAGCACTCAGAGCGATATATAAAATAGATAAAATATTGTGCAGTTCTAAGAAATGGGTAAGAAATACAACAGCCTAGGAAAGAATAGACACAGATAGCTAAGAAGGAGATGGGGGAGGAGTCACTGCATAAATTTGAGAGATTTCAACTAAATAAAATGTTTTACACCTAATGAAATGCCTAACCGTGTAATATTGATATTATTTAATGATATGCTAAATATTTTCAGGTGATAAGGTAGCAAGAATTCTGCAGTTATGTCATTTCCTACTTTCAGAGCCTTAGTACACTTTGTCCTCAAATATGTGTTCAACGCAGCATAGGGAGACTGAGGGCTAATGTGCATTTTAAGAGCCTTAAAATGTTCCTATTTAAAGTTTCCTTTTTATTTGCTGTGCGTGTGTGTGTGTGTGTGTGTGTGTGTGTGTGTGTGGTATATATACACATGTGCAGAGGCCAGTGGAGGATGCCAGGTGTCGTTCTTTGCCATTCTCTGCCTTATTCCTTTGGGACAGGGTCTCTCATTGGGCCTGGATCTAGGCTGGCCGCCAACAAGCCCCAGAGATTCCCATCTGAAACCCCACAGTGTGGGGATTGCTTCAAGCGGCTGCGCCAAGCTTTTTATGTGGGTATTGGGGATTCAAACTCAGATCTTCATGCTTGTGCAGCAGATACTTTCACCCACCGAGCCATCACCCAGCCCCTCTTCTACAGTTCACCTGATGAAATATGGGTGAATGAGGCAGAGCACACATGTTGATGGAACACTTACTGTGTGCAGGGTACTGGACTCTACACTAAGCGTGTGGATCTGAAAAGAAACAGACATGCTGCCTTTCTGCACAGAGAGTATGATCTGGAAAAAGAGGCAGACATTAGGCACTTTAGTAAGTACAACACATACATACACACATAAAGAGAGATACCAGGTACAGTAACCTCACTGACACTGGAGACTCTAACATAGTTTAAGGACACAGGAACACAAAAATTGATTTGTCTCTCTTTTTTTTTTTTTCCAAAAATTGATTTCTAACAAACTGTGTGAACAGGCTATGTTATGGTGCTTGCACACCACATGGCTGGGCAGGTTCTAGAACAGACTGCATGTATACAAAACCCTTATGAGCGGGGTGGTCATTGAAGTTAATCTCTCTGCATGTCTTGATAAAATAAGAGAGAACACTGCCTATCTCATGTCATTAAGATAGTTAAACTGTTCATAGTAAACGGTCAATAAATGTTGACTGTCATTATAGATCAGGGTTGTCTCCATGACTATCAGTTAGCCATTCAAAGACTAAACATTTACATGCAGACACGGCTCTAGAGGAACATGAGAGAGCCTCACGGGAGAGCCTCAGCCACCTCTTCCACCTGTTGCTCTCTTCCTTCTTTAGTGATGAGCTATAAAAGACAAGCTTTGCTACTGTTCCCTCCTTGCACTGTGAATTAGTTTGTTCTCAGTGTGAACAATGATATTGATACTATCTCCCTTTGTTCTTTTACCCCTTCCTTCCCAAATTTAATACTATATTATTATTATTATTATTATTATTATTATTATTATTAATTAATGACATACTAGGAGTTAAACTGAGGGCTTTGAGCATGCTGCATGAGGGCTGTGTCTCTCAGGTGTATCCTCAGCTCTGTTTACTTATTATTTTGAGAGAAAGTCTAGTTATTCAGGCTACCCTCAAGCCCATGATCCCCCTGCCTCAGTCTTCCAAGTGGCTAGGATTGCAGGACTATACCAACAAGCCTGGCTTATATTGTTATTTGTGTTGCAATTACCTCTGGACCTCTAAAGTATATACCTTTATTTCTTCTTCCATCACCTTTCATTTTTATTTATTGTTAGGGTTTCTGTACATGATTAAAAACTTGACATACTGCATTATAAAGAAAGTACCAGTCTTCAGTAGTTTAGACTGGCCTGGAACTTCTTCAGCCTCCTGAGTGCTGTGCCTGCAGCTGTGAGCCACCACACCTGGCACATTCTTAAATGTTGCCCGATTTCTCAGAGAGCCTCAGGTACAGAGCATGGCAGACGCTTTCTCCACGGAGTCTTCTCCCTAGCCCCGCATGGTTTCCTAGCTTGGCCTCCCTTCTGCCATCTTCATTTCTGTTCGCTCCTCAGGTGCACTGCTTCTGTTCCCTTGGACCCACACTTCTGTCTCTTTGATGGGTATCTGTGCATCTAAACCTGCTGCGTCTGTTTCCTTGTGCTCTCCAACCAGACGCTAGATGGTGATTGGTCCCCATGTTTGGCTTTTGTGTCTGACATGCTTTTTCCTCAGATACTCAAATGCTGTCGCCTGAGGCTTGCACATGTGGTACTCAGATCTTAGACTGACAGGGAAAGGGAAGGAAAGAAGCAGTGTGCTTCACCAGTTACCATGGCTGTCATATCATTTTGACATACATAAAATTTTCAAAAAAAATCCTCTGTTTTTAAAAAGTAACAATAACATCACATTCTGAGAACTCATTTTATTGAGAGAATTTCTCCAAGAGTCTTTCATCCAGGCAATTTGATGTTTGAATTTTTTTAAAAAAAATTTTTATTTATTCTTAAATGTTTATTCTCTCTCTCTCTCTCTCTCTCTCTCTCTCTCTCTCTCTCTCTCTGACTCCCTCTGTCTCTGTCTCTGTCTCTGTCTCTCTCTTGTGTGTGGGGGCTGTGTGAATGTGGAGGTTGGTGTGAGGAGTCAGTTCTCTCCTTCCACTTTGTGGGGTCCTGGGTTTGAACTCAGGTCCTCAGGCTTGGTGGCAAACACATTGACTCACTGAGTCATTTTGTTGGCCCATGTTTTAACTTTTTTTTGAGAAAGAGACTATGGGAGCTAGAAATTTAGTTTAGTGGTGGAGTGTAAAATGTACAAGGTCCTGGGTTCAGTACTTAGCTCTGACTGAACACACATACACACAGGGACACACACATACACACACACAGAGAGAGAGAGAGAGAGAGAGAGAGAGAGAGAGAGAGAGAGAGAGAGAGAGAGAGACTATGTAGCCAGGGTAGCCTCAAAACCACTACGTAGTTGAAGAAGACCTTGAATTCCGATTCTTCTACTTCTTGAGTGTTGGAACTCTAGGCATGCGCCATCACAGCTCAGCACTTGGTGCTTAGATCTGAGTTCTAACCAACCCTGGCCATATGGAGGGCTCCTGTGGTTGTCACTTTACTGGCCTTTAAAGGGCATGTTGCAGCAGGGAATTATTTCCCATTAGTAGCATTAAACCCACCTTCATCCCCCATTTGGGCAAATTCTGACAAATGTTAAATTGTTTTTAGTGCTAATGAAAGTATTCTCCTCAACGATTATTAGCAACCCAGGTGTGTCCACTCAGTATTTACCCTCTGCTTTACACAGGAGAAGCACGTGAACCTGTTACATATCGAGTCCCGGAAATCAAATCGAAGGAATTCAGAGTTGGAGATTTTTGTTGACTGCGACATCAGCAGAGAACAGCTGAATGACATCTTTCCCCTGCTGAAGTCCCACACCACTGTCCTCTCTGTGGATTCCCCAGATCAGCTCGCTGGGAAGGAAGATGGTATGTTTGAGAGGGCAACACTCCACCTCCAAGAGCGAGCTCTCAATGTCTGTCCAGCCTCCTCTTCATCTTGAGGACAAGGAGACAAAGACAACTCTGTCTTTTTAAAGTCCTCATAGTGCGGTAGTGAAGGAAACACAATGGCAACTGATCAGAATTCTGGGGGGAAATCATGAGGCAGCATTTTACGGAGGATGGAAGATAAAGGAGCCTTGAACACGAGAAGGGTGGGCTAGAGGTTAATGCTCTCTCTTAGCTCCTCAAGCACTTCCAGATTCCACAACCCTGGTCTCCCCTCCCCTCACTCTTCATGGGTCTCTTGGGTACCTTATTTGTCTTTAGTGCCAGACAATTAAGCGGCTATTTGAATTTGGGGGAACGTTGGCAATGTTTGACATCTGAGATCTGAAACTCACTATAGACCAGGTTCCCACCAAAACCTGCTCGGGTGAGATCAAGCCTTCTGAGATTTCAGATGGAAAAGACAGAGGCGAAGGTCTTCATTTCTGACAAGAAATCATTATAACTTAGTTAAAACAAGAGACAAATGGATTCATTTTGTTACTTTGGATTCAGTAGCGTCTCTTCAAATTACATCACAATCTTTGGAGTGTGACCAGGGCTGCTGTTCATATGCCTTCATGTTCTTGTTGAACTGGATTCACCTCCATTTCTGGCTGGCAGGGAGCAACTTCCCTGAGTCCCTGAGCTCTCTTCTTAAACAGGAAGGACAAAGCACTGAAGAAGGGCTGACTTCCATGTTCCCCCTCCCACTGGCCATGCTTGCCTTGGGTAGGCTGCCTTGGCATCTGCAATCTGCTGACCTCACCTACACAGCAAAGAGTTTTCTAGAATGCTAGATGGTTCCTTTGATATTTAATGTATACCAACTCAGGTCAGATCACACACAGACAGACAGACAGACAGACAGACACACACACACACACACACACACACACACACACACACACACCAGGTAACTTAGGACTCCAGTTCCAGAGGATCCTACACCTCTGGCCTTCTTAGCACCAAATACTCATATGTAGGCATGCATGCACACACATATACTGAATTAAAAATAGTTCAATAAAAACTTTTCAAGAAGAGTTTCTTTGTGTAGCCCTGACTGTCCTATAACTCGCTCTGTAGACCAGACTGGCCTCAAACTCATAGAGATCTTCCTGCCTCTGGATCCAGAGTGCTGGGTTTAAAGGCGTGCGCCACCACCTCTGGCAATTTTTTTAAATCTAGAAATTAGATATTTGGACATGATACCCTACTCCAAACAAGCACTGCTGTTAAAAGCCTTTCCAGGACTTGCACGCTGGTCTGTAGACTTGCATTATCCTAGCCTGCCTCCATAGGACGATTATATATGTGAGTTTAAACATTTAAACATTTGGTTTGTTGCTTAAGAACAGTATTCTTTAGCACTTGGGAAATCAGCCTGAAGATTAATTGTTTTTAAGAAAGTAAAGCTAATGAGTTTAATTAAAACATAATTCCTATGAATAGAGCAGTTCACTCGTTTTATTCATTTTTCATCAATATACAAGTCTCACCCAACTGCACTTTCCTGAATGTCTCTTTGGTTAAGATTATCTCCTCAAATCTCAGTGGCTTTGGGATTTTATTTTGCAGTTTTGGAGACTGTTCCTTGGTTCCCAAAGAAGATTTCTGACCTGGACTTCTGTGCCAACAGAGTGCTGATGTATGGGTCCGAACTCGATGCAGACCACCCTGTAAGTTATCTTTTTAAAACACTTCGGTAAAAATACTTTAAGGCAAACTAAAAAAATTAAGGACAACTTAAAAACTTTAAACATTGATTTATTTATTATAGTTTTATGTGTGGGGGTGTTTTTCCATGCATATATGTATGTGCCTGAAAGCCAGAAGAGGGCACTGAATCCTCTGGAACTTGAATTATGCATGGTTGTGAGATACCATGTGTGTGCTGGAAACCAAACCCTGGATCCTCGAGAACAGTCAGTGCTCTCAAAGGCCAAGTCATCTCCCTAGGACTAGGGGTAACTACTGTGTTTTTCAGACAAGTTAATAGCATATATTAACTATACAAAATACTGAGTTTCATTGTGATATTTCATACATATATAAGATATTTTGACTATACTCACTTCAGTTGCCCTGCTCTGTTCCTTCCCACAAATAACAAGGGCAACTTGATTGTGGGAAAATGCTTTTTCTGAACTAAATGGAATTTGTGGGATTGGGATTTCAGGGAGTATGAGCAGCTCTCCCCAGAGGTAGCAGTGGGCCAGCAGACAGGAAAGAATCCAGTTCACTGGCTCTGAGATCTGCCCTGTTTCCAGCATTCGTTATAAAGCCATGCCCAGAGCCGTGCAGCTGAGTGTGTTTATAGTCAGCTCCTGCTGAAATGGGCCTGGGTGTTTGACATGCGCTAAAGGGGGTCAGAAAAACCCCTACCACCATGCTGCCCGGTTTGACCGATTAGGCGGTTGGTGATCCGAGAAGTTGTTTCCTTGGAGAACTTCACAGCACAGCCACGAGCTCAAGAGCTGGAACCCAGAGCACTGGACTTGTGTTTGAATCTCTGGGTTCTAGGGAGGGAAGAAGAGAGAATGCAATTGTGGAGTGTCACAGATCTGGTCTGCACATTAGCACCTCCTGCTTTCTAAGCTGCTTGAACGTGGCCATGTATCACATGGTATGTACTTTAGATAGCCTCCAGAGGACCCATCTGGTTGCCAGACAATCTTACCAAGTAGCTATTTGCAGTGAAGTGGGATGCTCACCCTCAGGAAGCTTGCAGCCTAGTTGAGGATGAGCATGTCTTAACATATTGCAAGATAATATGTACAAAATGTGCCAGAGGACATTAGCAAGTCGAACATACACCAGAGAGCATATGCTTCTGGCTGAAGGCATCAGAGAAAGGTGACATTTCCACTGGATCCCAAAAGATTTCAGCAGGTGAGAGATGGAAAGAAAAGACAGTGGGGTAGGGGCAGGGCACAATGTGAGCAAAAGTTCTGAGATGAGAACCCCCGGGGTGTGTTAATAGAAAGGTGAGTACCAGTTTTACACGCTGTCTACTGCTAAGGATGTTCACCTCCTTCATACTTTTAAATTTGTTTCTAATTTACCATGATTGCCACATCTTTCAGTAGTTTCCCTGCCTCCAGCCTTGCCACCCTCACACACATGCTTGAAGTCATTAGACTGGAAGCCTCACTATGACCATTTTCTCTCCTCTTCCACACATCAACAGTGGTTGGTCCACACAGCATGGTAGACAGTCCAGTGTGACAGCGAGCGGTAGGCAGAGTAGGCGTGGACTATTACTGGCTGTACAAAGGCACAACAGATGGGAACTTGGGGAATCTGAGGCAGGAGGAGTAGCACTAGTTTTAGGTCAGCCTGGGAAAGATGGTAAGAATATGTCTCACAAAACAAAATGAAACAGGCATGGAATACCATGAGACAACATGGGTGAGCCTTGAGCGAAGCCAGCTACAAGAGGCCTCATGTTTATGGTTCCATTTACCTGCAGTGTCTAGAAGAGGTGACTAGATCCCTGGCCGGCAGAGCATGGGTTTGGGAGGGGGATGAGGAAGAGATAGCTAGTATGATGTTTCTTTTGGGGGTGACACTATTTTTCTGAAGTCGCTATAGTCTATGACCCTGAATACACCCATGAAATCAGAGGGTAAGGGTAAACACAGTGATAGACGCCTACTGTCTCAGCCACTTCCAAGCCTGAGAATTACAAGTTTCAAGGTTAGCCTGGGCAACACGGTGAGATGTTGTCTAAAAATAAAAAATAATAAAAAAAAAAAAAGCAAGCAAAAAATATGATCATGGCTTTTAGTTTCTATTAATGTTGTCGCATGGCATATGAGCTGTATCTCAGTATAGCTGTTAGTCTAAGAGAACACCAACATAGCTCTGAGGTCAGATCTAAATCCCCGAACAGCCCTGTAATCTGCAGGCCCTGAACTAGTCGTCAACACGATCCGTGCACCATACAAGTTCCAGAAGCAGGGCGTGGCTTGCATTTTTTGTATCCTGAGCATGTTTTCCTTCTCTGTGCAAGTTCTTGTGACCCCTCTGTCCTCCACCTTGCTCTCTCCACATGATGGACACAGCTTGGAGGGGGGGGTCACTTCTAGGAAGTTTAGTTCAGTTAAGTCACTATTTTATGTATTCATTTTGATTTTAGTATTATTTACAGAGTTCTAGGCAGACTCTCTGTTGCCAAATTACACCTCAGTCTTTTTATTGCCAATTCTGACCATAGGTAAGCATAACTGAAGGTAGAGTCAAGTGATTAGGAGAACAAGTAAGAGAAGAGCTATGTACCTAACTAGGATGGCATTCCGTAGTCGGCCTTCATCTTTGTACTCACTGTGGCATCTTTGTATAAGAAGTATTATTTCTCTTTGTATCCATGAGATGATAAATTGTCACGGAACTATTGACATCAAAATTAAAACGCTCACGTATCTCTAAGCATTGTTTGCGTGTGGTAACAATTGTGTTGTTCTTCGATATCTCCAGTCAAAACAATGAATTGCTTCCTAATGTCATTTTCAAGTGTTTTTGGTTTCAATACTTAATTACTTTTAATTATCAGGGCTTCAAAGACAATGTCTACCGTAGAAGACGGAAGTATTTTGCAGAGTTGGCTATGAACTACAAACAGTAAGTATATTACAAGCCAACATATCTAACTTTGAGATAACAAAATAATGGAATAAGATGTGTTTGCATAGCAAGTAGAAAGTCAAGTAAGTGTAACTACCTAACTACAATGCAGAATTCCCCATTTTGATCTCATTAGCGGGGACCCCATTCCCAAGATTGAATTCACGGAAGAAGAGATTAAGACCTGGGGAACCATCTTCCGAGAGCTGAACAAACTCTACCCGACCCACGCCTGCAAGGAGTTCCTCAGAAACCTTCCTCTGCTCTCGAAATGCTGTGGCTATCGGGAAGACAACATCCCACAACTGGAAGATGTCTCCAACTTTCTAAAAGGTAGTAGCCAACAGATCTGTGTAAGAGGGTGTTATCTGCGTCAGCAGGAACAGTGTTGTCTGTGAGGAGTGAATTCTAGTTACGTGGAAGGGCCAGCGTCTTCTAAACTCATCCTGGAGGACTGGATACTTTGGGTGGTAACTTGGAGATGTAGGGACTGTTTACTAAATGTTTAAACATTGACAAATTAGAACCTGTTTCATATAATAGAGAGATTACTATATACATATATATATAAAATATTACTCCTTTTTTAAATAAAAAGAAGACCTTATTTAGAAGAGTCATGTGAAAACAGCCTTGCAAAGTTAGATCTCATCAACGAGGATGTCTGTACCAGACCTCTGTACCTGCCTTCAGGGTTGTGTAGAGGAGACAAGGGCATCTGTGCACTCTCTGACGCTGGGTGGTCTCTGATGCTGAGTGGTCTATGATACTGGGTGATCTCTGATACTGGGTGGTCTCTGATGCTGGGTGGTCTTAGTTGGGAACTCAGTACAGGGTCTGTGGGATGCTAGGCAAGAGCTTATCTCTGAGCTGCATCCCTCAGTCCAGAAGTTATGTTTTTGGTTCATATTGTTAATTTTTTTTCCTGGCATAAAGTGTTGGCTGAGTTTCTTACACAGTTAATAAACACCTTCCCATTTATTCAACCCCTTAATTCTCCTTATTTAAAAACCATGCATAAAAGCCTAAAGGAACCGAGCAGGGAAATACAGAATGTTTCATGAGGATAGAAATAATGTATGTGTTTCTGATGAAAAGCTAAGGTTTGAAACATGGTACAGAAGCACTGCAGGGGTCCTCGCTGGATTCACGCAACCACATGAGTCTGTGTCACAGGCGCCGTTCACTCAGGTTTGCAGGAAGCATTTTGTAGACATGAAACTGAGAGCTGCTCCCTTGGGGTCTGGAGAGGGGCTGGCCGCAGAGCCGCTTACTGTTTCAAAACTTCCACAATAACTGCCCCAGGAAAATTTCTACTGTCAGTGTGTAAGAGTTAAACTACCCTGCACATTTGAAGGAGGGCACCAAGTGTAATCTAAGGCCTACTGAATTCGCGTTTCGCCTTTATCATCTCCTGTGCTCTTTGAGCACATTATTAAGTGTTGTATACCTTTTACAGCAAAGAGAAAAATCCTTTTGTAAGCATGCAAGAAGTATGTAAAAGGATCACTGCCTGGTCGTGGGATGTGCTTAATAATGCTTAGCTTACCATAGTACACACAGGCTACGTTTTAGTTTCCACACCCCTTGGAAGTGCTACCTGGTGCCACTGGCCAATGTCAGTGGTCTGTGGCTGAGGTAAACGTTTTCTGTTTTCTCCTTTGTTCTGCAGAAAGTACAGGGTTTTCCATCCGCCCTGTGGCTGGTTACCTCTCACCGAGAGACTTTCTGTCAGGGTTAGCCTTTCGCGTCTTTCACTGCACTCAGTATGTGAGACACAGTTCAGATCCCCTCTATACTCCAGAGCCGTAAGTACTCAAGTCATTCACCCATCAAGTAGTTTATAGTAATGGTGCCCACTTCACAAAGCATCTTGTGAGTGTTCAGTGAAGCAGCATATGTCAAGCCTTTAGGATAGTGACTGGCATTAAAGCATACTCCGTAACAACCAGTTATTAGTAATATTAATAATTATTATTATGTTAATTGTCAAATCATTAGATGCCAGGTACAGTTCTGTGCACAAAGGGTGTAAAAATCAGATAAAATTACTGTCTTCATAAAGTTTTATTTTGGGGAATATACAAATGATAGATAAGTAAATGTAGTAAGTTTCATGTCAGATGATGGTGTGTGCCATGGGGGAAAAATAAAACTAGGAAAGAAAGGATACAGGCATGTATATGGGATTGCTTTGGGAAGTGTGATCAGATAGGGCCTTTATTGAGGAAGCGTGGCACTAGAGAATAGATTTAAGTGGGGGACTTGAGATGTCAGCGGAAGCATGTTGAGAAGACAAGATTTGGAACCAATGGCATTTCTGTATTCAGTAAATATCCCTTATGATCTATCACTCCTGATCAACTAGAGTAAGAGCAAAGTTGACTTTGGGTTGGATTCAACAGTAGTTTATGCATTTGTGCCAAGCATCACAGCGTGACGGATTGTGTCTCCGTTTCAGAGATACCTGCCATGAACTCTTAGGTCATGTTCCTCTCTTGGCTGAACCCAGTTTTGCTCAATTCTCCCAAGAAATTGGCTTGGCTTCACTTGGAGCTTCAGAGGAAACTGTTCAAAAACTGGCAACGGTATATATCTGGAAAATGCTGTATAGTTCAGTATTCTCCACTGGGTGTGGTTGGCAGTATTTGGGTAATTTGAAGTCCATGTTCAAGGTAGCCATTAGAAAATTTGTTTTTGCTTTAAATGCTTATAATTTAAATAAGTTAAATGAAGTTATAAAAATTTAAGATTTCTCCAAAAGAAACACAACATTAAAACAAGACAGAAAAGCACAAGATTGATTTAATATACTAATTTTTAGATTGAAAAATGAGTGATGGGGCTGGAGAGATGACTCAGAGGTTAAGAGCACTGCCTGCTCTTCCAGAGGTCCTGAGTTCAATTCCCAGCAACCACATGGTGGCTTACAACCATCTGTAATGAGATCTGGTGCCCTCTTCTGGCCTTCAGCCATACACACAGACAGAATATTGTATACATAATAAATAAATATTTTAAATAAATGAGTGATGTCTTATGAACCAGGGAAGGAAGGACATTTTAGGATGAGGCTTAAGACAGATGAATATAGGCTTGGCACCACTGGGAGTTGCCTGAAAGTGGAGAAGGGTTGAAAATAGACTCACTGGTTATGAATTTGTGGTGTAGGGATGTTGGGCGTCCCTGAGACCTTTTGTGGAGTCCTTGAGGACAAAATTATTCATAAATAAAAGACACATAGTGTATTTTTAATGTGACAGACAGGGCTCAGATACCACATTGAGTCTGAACTTTAAGTGACTACCGTATGCTGAGTGAGGTAGTTAAAGAATATGAACATTTCTTTGAAGAGGGGAGCCAAATGCCTGCCCTTTTCTAACTGCATAACTGCATAAAGCTGTTCATATACTTGAACCAAATACAGAAGCAGATATGGCAATCCATCTGCCTCCCCATCAGACATTAAATACTGTCTAGCCAGACACGGACAAGACGTGAACAGATGGGCTTAGCTAACTCAGTCCCTCCACACTATGAATCCATAGGATTGTAATTGTCAAAAATTAAAACCAGGGTCAGTGAGATGCTCAGTGTCCCCAAGCCTGATGACCTGAGTTTCATCCCATGGTGGAAGGAAGAAACTAGCCCCACAGGTGTCCTCTGACCTTTCACAGGCACGTGTGTGCGTGTATGAATGTGTACATACACACACATGCAAATAAATGTAAAAGAAATTAAATTAAAGTTAAAAAGATATTGGCTACATAGTTGGAAGCATTCTTCCTACTACTCCAGCTCCAGGGGATCCCATGGCCTCTTCTGGCCTTTGTAGGTGCCCGTACACATACACATAGGTAAAAATAATCAAAATAAATTTAAAAGATGAATAACAATTATAAAAAATGCTAGTCTTTTGTTACTTTTTGTTTTGTAAAATATACTTTTGTTAAGTGTTACTTATGTAGCCACACAGTGGGTTTACCACATTTAAACAGATTTTTAAGCACCTTAATTGTTTCTTGGTTTTAACTTTAATATGGTCAGTATAACTAGGGGTAACACATACACACAGAGAGATCTTTGAACTCCTCAGTAATTTTCAACCCTGTATTAGAGTCTTTACCCCAAGTTTAGAAAGTCCTGGTGCACAACAGGGCCAGATTGTGGAAATACTTGGGGCCTAGGCTGGAAGTCCTGGGCTTGATTCTGGGTGTGCTTTGGGCCAGTGACTAAGAACTGGAATTTCTTTAGAGTGAGATGTTCAGGATGTGAGCGTGACGTTGGCATCCTTTTGCAGTGCTACTTTTTCACTGTGGAGTTTGGTTTGTGCAAACAAGATGGACAGCTGAGAGTCTTTGGTGCCGGCTTGCTTTCTTCCATCAGCGAGCTCAAAGTAAGAGACATCGGTCTTTGCACATAACTGTGTCCACCAATACATTCAACATGTCTGGAGGCAGAGCTTACATCTGACAAGCCTTTACTATGGCAAATTTCTAGAAAAAATGGGTCTTTTAAGTAGAAAGTATTTTAAAGCTTTAAACAAATTTCTGGGATGCAAGCAGTAAATTCTGAACCAAGTAGGGAAGTGAGACCTGGTTGCCTAAGAGAGCAATGAGAGAGCTCTGGGCAGTGAGCCTTGGGACAAGTGCTGTCTAAGGTACTGTGCTAAAGGAGGCTGCTCCGTGGTGATGGGTAGAAGTGTGAATGTGACCAGTGGAGGTAGACAGTAGGTGTTGTAATGCATATATAAATAAATGAATAAATAAAGATACTTGGCTTCCTCCTATGTGGTGAAGAAAGTTAAAATATAACCCTTGAGATGGTTTTGAGTCATTTGTGGGGGACAGCAAACGTCTTTTGGGTTAGATTGGATGAAGCAGCAATGTAGTGAGACAGTCTGGGGTTGCATAAATTAGTTGCTTAAATCCTTGCATAAATCAGTTGCTGCAGTCCTGAATTCTGTGGAGATAGAGGCAGTATTTGATCACCATGCTTTGTCCCCCAGCATGCGCTTTCTGGACGTGCCAAAGTTAAGCCCTTTGATCCCAAGGTTGCATGCAAGCAGGAATGTCTCATCACAACCTTCCAGGATGTCTACTTTGTATCTGAGAGCTTTGAAGACGCAAAGGAGAAGATGAGGTAGAATCTATCCCCCTCAAGCTTCCATTTGCTGCAAAAATAATGTCCAAAGATACAATAATCACAGGTATAAGCAAGTAGGTAATTGGATGCCCACCAGGAGCTTTCTACCTAAGACATATCTGTTTAGAATAGGTTGAATATCATGTGTTAAGTAGTTGCATATGGGAATGGGATACATTGAGAGACTGGCTCCTCCCCATTCCTTCCCAGCAGAATTTATAGTTCAGCATGGACAAGTAACTATAGACACAATACTGAGTAATAGGGAAGTGATGCGAATAGAGACAGAGAGGAAACACTCTTGCCTCCGTTGGTCTCCTCTCCAGCCGGAGAAGCACAGAAATCGTGGAGGCAAGGGAGACAGATGGAAGACTGGCTAGAACTGAGATGTGTCAGGTTTTAGGCTGAAATGGCATGGAGAAAGAGAGAGTGATAGAAATGCATGGGGCTATTTTATTGCAGTCAGATCTCCTGCCTGCATCAGGTAAGCATGCTGCCATGTGAGGAGAGCTGGAACACAGCCACTTCAGATACTTTTGAACTCCAGGCGAAAGTAAAATCTGGACTAAGATAGAGGCAGTGGGGAGGAAGTGGCTGTGGAAGCAGAATCCACAAAATAGCATGCAATTGAGGAAGTCAGGAAGCCACACTGTGAGGACAGGGGATTGCAGGGCTTAAGACCATGCTTTATCTTCCAGGAGCTTGCTATGCACAAAATCAAATAACAATAGCAGCTGTGCTTTCTCTAGCACAGATGGCATCCTTAGGCAAAGCTGCAGTGGTCCCCACTGAGGAGACCAGATGGATGGGAGCCTGGATTCTAGTACCCAAGCATGTACACTTGGTCCAAGCTGTGCAGTTATCCTTTGGGGTTTTGAGCATGATTGTTCTGTAGGGTACCAAGGAAGAGGTTCGAATGTTGAGTTGATAAAGGAGACAGATTTTAAACCATGAGGAAAGGGTGGGGGGATTAAAGTCACTTGAGAGAAAGCTAGAAACCTAAGCTGAAAAAAAAAATCACACAAGTATGGGAAATTAGGTCTCTCTCTCCCTCCTCCCCATCCTGTCCCCTCTTTTTATTATGTAAAGCATAGCTGAGGAGTGTCTTACTTTGTGGCTCAGTATTGCCATTATCTTCTGAATACTGGCAGATAAAGCTACTGTGGGTGATGCCCTTAGTGAAGTCAAGAGGTCAAGAGATGGGCTATAGACCACTTCCGTGACATGAGACATGGGATTAGTGCTCAGTATGGGAGAATGGAGAGGGGGAAGAGGGAGAGGGAGAAGGAGGGATTGAGGTTTCCCTCCAAGGCCACAGGTGTTGACGTCACTGATGTCAAGACAGAGAAAGCAGGTGTGTGTGTGTGTGTGTGTGTGTGTGTGTGTGTGGTGTGACCAGGTCTTCTGTCCTCTGTTAGGGTTTTGTCACTCACACTCATAGAAATTAACACTCCTTTACTTGTCTTAAATAGAGAATTTACCAAAACCATGAAGCGCCCATTTGGAGTGAAGTACAATCCGTATACTCAGAGTGTTCAGGTTCTGAGAGACACCAAGAGCATAACCAGCGCTGTGAGTGAGTTGCGGTATGACCTCGATGTCATCAGCGATGCCCTTGCTCGGGTCAGCAGGCAGCCCAGTGTGTGATTGTCTCCAGTCCGAATCCAGAAAGTCAGTGAGCTTCAGTTCAGAGCCAGGGCCACCTCTCGCTTCCCCCGAAGACCTGCTTGAGGAGGACAACAGCTCCCAGCTTAACAAAATTTCTTATCTCTCTCTCTAATAAATCAGCCACTGTCTCTGAAAATGCACACCTGGATGCTTTAGCCACTGCTGACAACCTTCTTCTTCTTCTTCTTCTTCTTCTTCTTCTTCTTCTTCTTCTTCTTCTTCTTCTTCTTCTTCTTCTTCTTCTTCTTCTTCTCCTCCTCCTCCTCCTCCTCCTCCTCCTCCTCCTCCTCCTCCTCCTCCTTCTTTTTTGGTACCTGCTTAGGGAAATATAATTCACATATCATGTGATTCACCAAATGCCCATTTAAAATATTTTATTTCATTAAAATATAGTTAAATCATCTTCCCCTTCCCTTTCTTTCCTCCAACCTCATCCCCCAGTATCACGGCCTTTTTTACTGAATACCCACTTTTGATGGGGCAAGTTGTTTGACACTGGTCAGAGCTGGTCTTACCTTGATGCTGTTTCCACCAGTTCGTCATCAGCAAATGGTCACTTTGAATGCCCTGACGAGTGTATCTGTAGCTGTTACTTGTCACCAACCTTGTCACAGCTCAGACACATTCACAGACTAGATTTATAGGAGACCAGCTGTCCTCACTGCCTGCATGGACAGACGTGCAGAGGGCTTGGCCCTCGAGCGTGACTAGCAAAGAGCAAGTTGGCTTCAAGTGCAGTGTCAGACGAGGACATGGAAGTCACCAAGACTCAGCCAGGCATGGCAGTGCCTGCACTCCCAGGTCTCCCTGGCGCCTTATTTCAAGGTGTCACAGCAGAACATAAGAACATGAGGAGGCAGTGAGGGAAGAGGGTAGGAAACGAGGAAAGAAACAGAGAAGGGCCAAGGAGAGCAGTCTGGTCTGAGAGTGTGATTTGTGGGGACTGTGAGGGTGGAGAGTAGTGATGTCAGACATGGAGCATGCGCAGAAGCGGCTGTCTGAACTCTTCACTACTGTAACAGAGTGCAGAGGCAACCGACGTATAGAGAGGAAAAGTTTAGCTTTGCTCATAGGTTTGGATGCTTTGGTCCATTAGAAGTTGTTCCTGTGTTCTAAGTCTGTGATGAACCAAGGCGTTGTGGGAGAATGTGGCAGAGCAAAGCTATAAACTTCAAAAAGGATGGAAAAAAGAAAGAGGGAAGACTTGAAATGAGGAAGAAGGTAGAAAGAGAGAGGGATGAGGAGAGAGAGAGACAGAGAGATCCTATAGTACAATGTAGGAGTTCAATACTACCAGGGTAGTTCAATACTACCAGGGTAGGACAGTGGGCTCAACAGTTAAGAACATTAGCCACTCTTCTAGAGGGCCTGGGGTTGATTCCTAGCACCCACATGGTGGCACACAACCATCTGTAACTCCAGTTTTAGGGGGTCCAATGTCTTCTTCTGGCCTCCATGAATAGCAGGCAGGCATGCAAATGGTGCATAGAACACATGCAAGCAGAACGTCCATACACATAAAATAAAGAAATTAAAAACCTCTATTTTTCACACTAATAGTGAAATCAAATACCATTGAACATGCTTTATTTCAAGCCCACTAGATTGTTTACACTAGATTTTTTTTATATCCTTTTAAGACATCAGAGGAAATTGTTAACAGCTGCATTGTTGTCAGTCTTTCTTCCCGGACTTCCTTTGGGACCGCCAGCCCCCCAAATAATGACAAGAAGACTTATTATTAATTACGAAAACCTGGCCTTTGGTTTAGGTTTGTTCCCAACTAGCTCTCATAACTTAAACAGCCATATCCATTAATCTACACTCTGTCACACGACTTTTTACCTCTCCTCCATTCTGTTCATACAAGTTGCTCCATATATTGGTGGCATCTTCTGTCTGTCTAGATGCATCCCCCTGAGTTCCTCTCTCTGCCTGGAAGTCCCACCTAACCTCTCCTGCTTAGCTATTGGCTGTTCAGGTTTTTATTAAAATGAATCACAACAACACATCGTCACACAGTGTACAAATGTCCCACAATGCTGTATTCCATCCCGTGCTCTGCGAGGAAGCAGACTGAGGAAGGGTGACTCAGCCGTCTCAGCTCTTTATAAAAGTTCGCTTTCACAGCTACTGAGCATCCGTATGATGATGACATGTGAGCGTGTCTGAAATCATTTGACGTACAGACCAGCTAGTCTGTTTAGTCACCAGGAAAAGCACTCTAAAGAAATCATAACAGACAGCATAGAGACCCCATCTGCTGTGTCTGGTTATTTTCACAAGACTTTGATGACGCTGGAGAATCACAGTGGGTTTTTAAATGATGGTGCTTAATATTTGCTCTGACTAATGCACTTTAAAATAATTAGTAGCTTCAAGATAGTGGAAATATTTAGTGGCGGTCTTGACTTTGTCTAACCTCTGGATCATGATATTTGGCAAATCAGGGAGGGATCCAAGAGTTTTTAGAGTTTTCAAAATACCTAAAAAAATTTAAATAATTATCCAAACACCAGGACAGAATGAAATCAAAAGCATGGCTTGCAGTTCTTAGCCGGAGACTCATTCCTGACCACAGTAGCATGTCTGACTTCAAAGAAAAGAGAAATATGAATCATCAGAATGCCTGTGTTCCTTAACTTCATGCTTTGGCATTTCGAGTTACATAAGGAGCAAGGTACGGTAAAATGTGTGGAATCATTGATAATTTGTAAGTTGGCTTCCAGAGAAAGAAAAAGCCAGGACTTCGCAGAAGCAATAAATAGCAGAGACCACATGTTAATGTCTATGAAGTGGATAAAGATAATTGTGATCCATTTTGCTCTTGTCTTCATCACACTGTGGAATGTACATTTATAATTTAAAAGTTTGCTATTCTACTGTACAATAAACTCAAAGTTCATGTTCTTGAAAAGTGTTCTTTTAAGTACATTTTATTATTTTATTTTGTGTGTATGTATGTGGGCCCCAGGAATCAAACTCCAGTTATCAGGCTTGGTCACAAGCACCTTTAACTGCTGAGCCATTTGCCCCTCAACAACTGTTTTCTTTTTTGTCAATCATACATTAAAAACAGATTCAATTTTATATTCACAATCATTTAGTTTAGAGACCCTAGCAGGGTGATGGTTGGTTCAAAGAATCAGCCATGGGGGAGGACAATGAATTAGAACAGAGAATGAAAATGCCACAGTGGAACCCATTGCTTTGTATACCAACTCCAAACATTTTTTTAAGAAAGTGCAAAATATAAAATAAAGACCTGGAGAAAATTATCTCACACGAGGCTTTGTAAGAAGCCGATTTATGGTTCCGAAGAGATGGCTTCTCATCAGTTAAGAGCACTCCCTTCCCTTACAGAGTACCTGAGATTGTTCTCAGCACCCACATCTGCCAGCCCACAGCTGCCTATAACTCCAGCTCCAGGGGCTCTGATGCCCTCTTCTGGTCATCACCATATTGTTTTCTTCATGTAAAGAATCATTAGCGATAACTGTTTTGAGCAGGATTCCCCCACATCTTCTGGATGATTCTGCCTTCCTCCAGAGAGAATAACTGCTATTTCTAGCAGTCAATGTATTTATTATGGCATGGGACGATCTTGGTCCACTTAGGGATGGAGCCAATGAGAAGCTGAGCTTCAGCTTGGTGAGGCTGGTCTACCCCCAGGCCACCCCTGCTCAGTCTGTAGTGAAGCACAACTAATTAAAACTCAGAGACAGATACTGGGGTTCAACCTGAAGGTCAGAAAAGCAAAACATGCAGCCACTGGCTCTTACCTCTGCCTCAGTCCAAAATGGCGACCCTGCCTCCAAAAATCTCAGAATAAGACTCAGACTGAGAGCTGTCTCCTCCTGTTTTATAATCCTCTCTAGTTCCGGGGTTAAAGGCATGCACCACTACTGCCCAGTTTCTATGGCAAGCTAGTGTGGCTACTGGGATTAAAGGTGTGTGTTATTGCTGCCTGATCTGTAAAGCTGATCAGTGTGGCTGTTTTATTTCTCTTATCCTCAGGTAAGTTTTATTTAACAAAATACAAATGAAATGCCACTACAGCGTAGCTCTTTAGGGGTCCCACTAAGTGTACATCAGGGGACCTGGCTCCCTCATCGCTATCCCCACCGCCTCCCCAGTACTATAAAATCATGGCTCAGTTTCTCAGCTGCTACTCTCACCTTAGATTCTCATCCTCCAGCCAATGCTTGCTTGCTCCAAGGAAATGGGGAGTGCCGGTAGAACCTTGGCTTCCTGTCTGGGCCTCTTGCATTTCTGTTGCTCTGGAAGCTCTCCGATGACTTGAAGCATATTTTTAAAACAAAAACAAACAAAAACAAAATACACTTTCAGACAGCTTTTCTAGTTGAGGGAACTGGTCAGCAGCAGCTTGGCAATCTTTCTGTGGAAAACGGAGCTTGGCCTCTGTTTGGCCTCACTGCCGCTTGGTTCTCTGTGGACTCACTCTTCCCTGGTCCCTGCTGGGAGGACTCTGCTGAGGGGGCTCTGGAAGGCTCTGGAAGCTCTGCTTTCCTGTTCTAGATGACTTCATTTGGAGAAGCGAAAGAACCCCTGAAATTCGAGTTTAGTCCCACTTTTTTGCCTTGGGAACACAGCACCTTAGGTAGGCAAATGGACAGAAGAAAAAGCTGCACCTTCCAAAAGTTCCACAACCTCCTCAGCAGTGCCACCAATGGGGACCAAGTGTTCAAATACCAGAGTCAATGGGGACATTTCTCATTCAAAGCACCCCACTTTCCACATTCCTTAAAATTGGTCTGTAAGTAGCTCTGCTTTGCACCCCGTTCCACATCAGGATTTTAAAGGGAATGTAGTTTAGGGTTAGTGTTCTCTTCCAGCTTGTATAATGCTTTGGATTCCATCAGAAGCGCCACAAAAGGAAGTCCTCTACTATGGACTGAGAAATAACAAGCTTTAGGGTCAGAGCCTTCTTCCTCCTCTAGGACCGAGACTAGAGTTCATTTGCTCCTTTAGTTCCTTATATCCCTCCCCCACTCACTAGAGGCTTGGTCTCCTTGAGCACCTACGTGGCCGGTAGTAGGGAGCTGGAAGAAGCAGGAAAATTCTCGTTGGGCTAAGTGTTGGGAGGGGCACCAGACCTTCCTGCTCTTGATAAGTATTAATGTCAGTTCACTCTGTTTTGGGTGGTTTGTAAGACCTCAGTATCTGTTGAAATTGGAGCAGCGGGGCTGCGTCCCCAGCACCCCAGCCGCCTGCTAGCTCATGCCCGAAATAACAACACACAAACTGTATTCATTTAAAGACTGCTTGGCCATTATATCTATCTAGCCTCTTCTCGGCTAACTCTCGCACCTGGACTAGCCCATTTCTAGTAATTCATGTAAGCACCCCAAGGTGTGCTTACCGGGAAGAGTCTAACCTATGTCCATCTTGGGTCGGAGCTTCATCGCGTGTGCCTCAGAGAGCAGAGCTATCGGGAGAGCTGAACATGGCGTCTCTGCTCCAGAGAGCAGAGCTGTCCAGTCTTTCTGGGAGCAGAGCAGAGTCTGCCTGAGGAGTCTTACCTCACTTCCTCCTGTTTACTCCTCCCACCTATGTTTTAAGCTATCAGGGCAAGCAGTTTCTTGATTTAATTAATCAATGAAATCAACAGATTGATATATGACACTTCCACATCAAGTATCTCTTGATGTTGGTGTCTCTGACTAAGACTATTAGCTTCATCTCTATCAGTCTCTCAGGCTCTCTGAACCATCAACCCTGGTCTGGTGGCTAGCTATTGCATTTCTCATCACGAGCCAGACTTTCCCCAATTCAGATGTTTTTTGTTTGTTTTGTTTTTTGGGTTTTTTTTGTGTCCCCATTGCAGTATCTTTCCTTGGAGCTGAAATGGGTGGGGTTCATATCACACTCTCAGCCTCTTAACAGTAGCCAGATATCCAGTCGGGATCTCTTTCAGCCTCTCTCATCTCTTAGGCAGGAATCCATCTAGATTTCCCGAGATCTGCTTCACAAGTTCAGGTTTGGTTTCTCCCACCTTACTTTATTTCTTTTTTTTAAATTATATTTAAATATTATTTTTCTTTCCTTTTTTATTTAAATAACTTTTTTTCCATTTATTTTACCACCAGTTTCCCTTCCCTTCTCTCCTCTCACCCCCTCCCTTTTCCTATCTACCCCTCCCCATCCACTCCTCCTCCATCTCCATTGGTAAAGGGGCAGGCCTCCCATGGGCTTGCACAAAGCATGGCCTGTGAAGTTGAAGTGGGACCAGAGCTCCTACTCTTGAGGCAGGGTCAGGTGCGTGGGCATGTACGTGAGGAACAGGTTACCAAAAGCCAGCTAAGCACCAGGGAGAGGTCCTGCTCTGTTAGAAGCCTTACTAAGAGACCACGCTACACAGTTGTCACACATGCAGAGGGCCTAGGCTGGTTCCATGTAGGTTCCGGACTGTTGGTCCAGTGTCCATGAGCTCCTGGAAGCTCAGGCCAGCTGTCTCTGTGGGTTCCCCCGTATGACTCCCTGGCTGGAACAATCCTTCCTCCCTTTTCTTCTGCAAGACTCTTACCCTGTGCTTGTCTGTGGATCTCTGCCTCCGCTTCTATCAGATAATGGATAGAGTATCTCTGATGGCAATTAGGGAAGTCACCAATCTGCTTACAGTAGATGGCCAGTTCATGCACCTCCCCATTATTGCTGGGAGTCTTAGTTGGGGCCATCTTTGTGGGTATCTGGGGGTTTCCTTGGCACCAACTCCGAAACGGACCGCCCTATCAAGGTGTCTCTTTTGTTACTCTCCCCTCCATCCTGCTTCCAACCCATCTCCTGCACCCTGCCTGCCAACCTGCTTCCTCTAGTATCCATTCCTCTATCCTCCCATGCCCTGCCCCCAGTTTACTCAGGAGATCTTTTCTACTTCCCCTTCCCAGGGAAATCCATGCATCCCTCTTTGGGTTTTCCTTGTTATCTAGCTTCTCTGGGGCTGTGGATTGTAGGTTGGTTATCCTATAGTTTACTCCTAATAACATCTATAAGTGAGTACATATCATGTTTGTCTTTCTAAGTCTGGGCAACCTCACTCAGGATGATTTTTTCTAGTTCTATCCACTCGCCTGCAAATTTCATGAGAGCATCTTTTATAGCTGAGTAGTACTCCATTGTGTAAATGTACCACATTTCCCCCTATCCATTTTTGGTTGAGGGGCATCTAAGTTGTTTCCAGGTTCTGGCTATTACAAATGATGTTGTTATGAACTTAGTTGAGCAAGAATCCTTGTGTTATGATTGCACATCCTTTGGATATATGTCTAAAATTGGTATAGCTGTGTCTTGAGGTAGATTGATTCCCAGTTTTCTGAGAAATAGCCATACTGATTTTTAAAGTAGCTGTACAAGTTTGCCAACCCACCAGCAGTGGAGGAGTGTTCCCTTACTCCACATTCTCTCTCGCATAAGCTGTCATCAGTATTTTTGATATTGGCCATTCTGACAGGTGTAAGATGGAATCTCACAATCATTTTGATTTGCATTTCCCTGATGACTAAAGATGTTCTTTAAGTGTCTTTTGGCCATGTGAGATTCTCCTGTTGCGAATTCTCTGTTTAGATCTGTACCCCATTTTTTAATCGGATTATTCGATATTTTAATGTTTAGCTTCTTGAGTTCTTTATATATTTTGTAGATCAGCCCTCTGTCAGATGTGGGGATGGTGAGGATCTTTTCCCATTCGGAGGCTGCCATTTTGTCTTATGACAGTGTCCTTTGCCTTACAGAAACTTCTCAGTTTCAGGAGGTTCCATTTATTAATTGCCAATCTCAGTGTCTGTGCTATTGGTGTTATATTTAGGAAGTGGTCTACTGTGCCAAGGCACTTGAGATTAACTCCACTTTCTAGTCTATCAGGTTCAGTGTGGTTGGATTTGTCTTGAGGCCTTTGATCCACATGAACTTGAGTTTTGTGAAGGGCAATAGATATGGATTTATTTGTTTTCCTTACATGTTGACATCCAGTTATGCCAGCACCATTTGTTGAAGATGCTTTCTTTTTTCCATTGTATAATTTTGGCTACTTTGTCAAAAATCAAGTATTAATAGGTTGTGAATTTATGTCAGGGTTTTTGATTTAATTCTATTGATCCACATGCCTGTTTTTATGCCAATATCAAGCTTTTTTTTTTTTTTACTACTATAGCTCTATAGTAGAGCTTGAAGTCAGGGATGGTGATGCCTCTAGAAATTACTGTATTGTACAAGATTGTTAAACATTATTTTAAGGATTTTTATACAATATATTTTGACTATATTCTTTTCCCTCCCTCAAGTCCTCCAGGTCCTCTTCACCTCTTTCTCCTTTCCTCTCAACATCCCCAACAAGAAAAACTAAAACCCAAAGGAAAAAAAAAACAACAAAAAAACAAGCCATACCACCACCACCACCAAACAACAACAAAAAGGCACACATGAAACACGGAGCCTGTTTTGTGTTGGTCAACTGCTCCTGAGCATGGGGCCTGCCCAAGAGTGCGGTTAATATACCCAGTCCATTCCGTTGGAGAAAACAGATATTTTCTTTCCCATGTATCAGCTGCAAATAGCTTCTTAGTTAGGGGTGGGACTTTCGTGCCCACTTCTCCTCCTCGGTGCACAGAGACTGTGACAAACATGTACGAGACCTGACCAGATCCACCTTAGTTTGTTGTATGTGAGTCATTGCCCTGTATTGCTTTGGGAACTGCTGAAAAGGAGAGAGAACGGTCCCGCTACATGCAACTGTGACATCCTGTAACAACATGCCTGAAAGGAAAGTTGCAACAGAAAAGCAGTAAATATTGCCCCGATCTCTCAGGACTTCGGGAGCAGAGCGGCTGTGCCTGGCTTGCCTGTGTGCTCCAAGCAGCACCACCCACCTTCTTAAGATTTCACAGTCGTGGGGAGAAAAGACCAGGGGCTGTCTTCACAAGGTCCAGCAGGCAGTAACAAGCAAGGAGTGTGGAACGTGAACAGGTGAGACCTGGATAGTAGCTTCCCGGGGACACTTTCCAATGTGAGGGCCAGGCAGGCAGGATGAAGTCCCTGAGACCTGTCTGCAGAGAGGCCAGAGCTGTGAAGTAGATCATTGCCTTAATCTCATGTGACCCTATCTCCCCCCACTTCAGGTTCTGAATTCCACTTTCCTAGTGCACATTGGTACGTTGTACTGTTTAATTCCCTCCAACGTCATGACATCGTCGATAAAAGCCATATTATATGAAAATCTATCTTGGATGAGAATTATTCATCCTGATGATCAGAATTAGGGCAGGCAGTTGTGGAGGGTGGGGACAGCTTAGGGACACAACAGACAATAGCCAGTACTAGGGGTGTTACCAGGTGCGCATTCCCCGTCGTGACGCTAGGCCACCCAATATTCTCAGGTTCCCACATGCACAGAGAAGCGGGCTAAGGCAGCTCCCGGAGGACTCCGCACTGGACCCTTCCCACCTCCGGGCTCAGCTCCCTTCCCCACCACACTGTGTTATCCTTGTCAGGTCAGCCCTCTGGGCAGCATGGGGCACGTAAAGAGCTTTCCGAATGACTGTGATGCGGAATTACGAGCGTGGGTGCAGAACACATTCCCCCCCCACACGGGTGTGTTGCCTGGAGGCCGCGAGGTCCGGTCTGACAGCGCTTTGGCTGAGTTCCTTCGCGTGGGGGTGGGGGAGAGAACTGTCACCAGCATCCTCCCTCTCCAGGCCCACTGGCCCCGCCTAGTCCCTCGATTCGTCCCGCAGGCCACGCCCAGCTACCGGCCTCGCCCCGCCCCCGACGTCCGCGGCCCCGCCCCGTGCAAGCCCCTCCCGGAAGTGCCGGCGGAGCGTGTGCATGGCGCGCGTGTCCTGTGTCTCAGAAGCTGGCTCCGCCGCGGCCGCGCTCTTCGGCTGGGTACGTGACTCCGCCCCCGGGCTCGGGAAGCGACTTGGGGCGCGGAGACCCGGGAGCGCCCGGCATCTGCTGCGTGAGTGAAGGGGGAGCTGAGAGGCAGAGGCCCACGCCAGGGTCCTGGGTTGAGCACTCCGGGCTGCGACAGGAAGGAAAGGGTTCGGAGGGAGGGTCTCCCCGCGGTGCCTGAGGGGCCTGCTGCTAACTGGGGCTTGAGGACCGGAGGGACTGAGGCTCTTCGGGTAGACCCTACCTTCAGGGGAGAGCGTCCATTCTGGGGAAGCTCTCGGCTGCCTGAGCGCCTGGGAGGCAGCGTGGAGGCTGGACAGAGAGAAGATCGCTTGGTGACAGCTCGTAGGGCCACCTGTGTCATCGAATCTTTCTTTTGCCTGGAGGATGGGAGGCTCCTTACCAGCGCCGTCACCCTGGGGAGCATCCTGTGGATGTGAGGCCTGTGGAGTGTGGCCGCGCGAGGCGCAGACCCTGCATATTTGCTGTTACTCTGCTCCGACCGGATCTTACCTTTTCTGGGGTCGTGGAAGTCTTGGCTGCTTCGGTTTGACACTGAACTTTGAGAGAATCCTTATGTGTGACTGGAGAGGAGGCTTTATGCTCGCGAATGGGGGGGACATGCGTGGCAGGAAGCATATGTTGGATGTTACAGTTCTTAATATTAAATGCCAAAATTGTGATAGGATGCACGATTTGTTAACGGCAGTCTCCTTGGCTACAGCGGAGGTGTTCTGAGAGTGAGTACTGAGCTCGTGGTGTTCACATTGGCTCTCTTGGTGCCTGGCATCTTGTAGACTCTGGGGATATATTTGTTGACTGAAGAATGAATGAATGAACGAATGGACGAAACAGATGAGTACCTGTGCGCACAGCCATGTGGAAGGTTTGGGAAGTCCATACATGTAAAGCTGTTCCAGTTCTACTGCTAGAGGAGGCTATAGCACCTATGTTTCTGCCAAGATTGGTATTCATTGACATATCTTTCACTTGTTGAGTGTCAGGCTGCTGGAAGGCAGATCTTGGCATGGCCTAGCTGACTCAGCTCCCTGAGGTAGCACTTGAGGTGGGGGCGGGGTTAATAACCGAATGTGTTGCTGCCTGTCATTTTCCAGCCAGGAGACTGTTGTCTTTCCGGCAGAGGAAAAATATCTGACAGAAAAAGCCTTTCAGATGCAGCCTTAAATGGACAGAGGCAGAACAGGGTCGAACCTCACTTTTCTAGTGTGCTTGGAGGCCTGCTGGCATAGTCTTCCTGTTGCGTATTCAGGCTTCTGCTGCCATGACAAAACACCACAGGCTGGGTTCTTGAACAATAGAAATTTATTTTCTCATAGAGCTGGAGGCTGCAAGTTCAAGATTGAGGTGTGGACGGTTTGGGTTTCTCTGAGGCCTCAGGTGGCTGTTTGTTTGTGGGTGGGTATCCTTGGTGTCTTAGGAGGAGACTAGATGGCTGCACCAGAGCCCCACCCTTACGGTCTCATCAGTTAACCTTAGTTACCTCTTTAAAGGTTGTGACTCCAAATACAGCCATATCGGGACATTTAAGAGGTTAGGGCTTTAATGTAGAAATTTTAGAGAAACACAATTCATCTCTCACAAGGGTGTGTGTGTGTGTGTGCGTGTGTGCGTGTGCGTGTGTGTGCATAAGCTCTGGATCCTTTGTAAAGAAGGAAGGTATACATAGTTGTCATAAAGTATATTAAAATTTCCTTTGCTCAGTTTGGTTTTAAGGCCTCTTGCTGCGTTAGAGACTGGTACATAGCGTGAACCTGGGGTTGTTCCTGCCTGTCTTCTCCCTCCAGTATTTCTTATCCTGCAAGTCTGGTAATAGGGCAACCAGATTGGCTAGAGACCCCAACACATGCTCTCTGTTTCACTCTGCAACAGTGTTGCATTTGACCTTTCCAGGGTGGAGCCTTGGACCTGATGCAGTCAATGCAGTTTCAGGTTTAGGGGAGTAGCTATGAGCAAGACCAAGTCCCTGCCTTCATGGTCTATTTCTAGGAGATGGGGTAGACTAGTCAAGTAGGCAAGACTCACTGTAGTGCCAAGGAAGGATACAAAGAAGAGAAAGGTGCTGAAGTGCTGGAGGTGAGCAGCAGCCCAGAGTCTGTGGCTTACCCTCTGGGCTGCCTCCAAGCACATCCTCATTAGACACAGTAAGAGCTAAAGAAAGAAGCCAACTACTGACTTGGTCACGTCGTTGTGTAACTATGGATCATTACTTGAGCCTCCCTGGGCCTCTGTTTCCTCATCTGTAAAATGAATGCTAATGCGCCTTAGTTGTGAGGATTGAAGGTGTCTGTCATGTCTACAGAGAACACTTAGTAGGAGCTGTATTGTTCCCGAGGCTCTCTTGACCTGTGCCCCTCCAGTAGCTCATTCTTCTTGGAGCCCTGCTGCACTCTGGAAATACCCAGCGGACAGGAGGGTTTTAGTGGGTTTGCATTCATGCCTTGGGGGTTGTTTCCAGTCACATGTTCTCATTCAGGGGTCCTCAGAAGATGGGTTTTAAAGGCTCCACCACTCACCTCCAAAAGAACCAGCTTGGGAGTAGACACTTGAAGAGAGGAATTTCTGAAGTATTAAGTATTAAGAACTGTGGGTTCACAGTTCCTCTTCTTTAAGTGAATATGGCAAGCTCTGAAAACTTAGAACATTCTGGGCCTTCGGCTCTTTACAGTGTGTATTCACTGTTGTATTTATATCTTCTGTTGCAGAGATGTTACTGTTTAATTTAATGGACATTGCCCTCTCTTTACAGCATCTTTGTGATATGTATTTGTGTATATACTGAATTCTATTTCGGTAACCAAGCTGTAAACATTTCAGACTAGAGACTTTTTTCTTCCAGTGTTGGTGACTGAACCTAGGAACATGCTAGGTAAGCACTCTGTTGCTCTGCTGTACCCCTAGACCTGAACTATGTATGCAGTTGATAGTGTAGATCTACAAGGGAGATCTGAATCTTGGAGTCGCCAAATGCTATACTTGAAAAGGCCCTTTAGAGATAAACTGCCTAGGTCTTGTACTAGCTCTGTTGGTAGAGCATGGGACTCTTAATCCCAGGGTCGTGGGTTCGAGCCCCACATTGGGCACCATTCTGTAGTATGGAGCCGTGGGCTGTGTTCCTGCCGCCCGGCTCCTGGCTAGCTTATGCCCCGAAATAACAACACACAAACTGCATTCTTTTAAACACTGCTTGGCCCATTATTAGCTCTAGCTTCTTCTCATATCTTGCCTAACCCATATTTAATAATCTGTGTAGCATCAGTCTTACCAGGAAAGGTTCAGCATGTCTGACCTGGTGACTTGCTTCATCGCATCTGCCCCAGAGAGGAGTGGCATGGCGTCTGAGCTCACTTCCCTTCTTCCCAGCATTCCGTTCTGTCTACTCTACCCACCTATGTTCTGACCTATCGGGCCAAGCAGTTTTCTTTATTAATTAACCAATGACCTTCCCACATCACAGGTGAATGATGATGCGTCCTGTTAGGGATGCAGCATCCTTAGCTAACTGAATAAATACAGAAAGTCATTGTCTGCTTCCCATTGAGGATGTGGGAGGGGAGCACAAACCTAACTCCAGAGTGTTTTCTGCTAACTTTTTCTTTATCTCTCCCTCCCCACCAACTTTTTTTCTTTTCCCAGCTTTCCTGGATAATTAGCTTTTATCAGAGGGCTTCCTTGGTCTGATTCCCAAAGGCAGTTTAGTCTTGGTTGGGTTTTATTGCCCTTGTGATGCCACATAGAATCGCCTGGAAAGAGAAATGTCAATGGAAGGCCTCAATCAGATTGACCTGTGAGCACATCTCTGAAGAGACTATCTTGGTTGATGATTGATGTAGAAGGTCCAGTCCACTGTGGGTGGTACCATCCATTGGTCGATGGGCCTGGGCTTTCTAAGAAAGTCAGTGGAGAGAGCCAGAGAGTGAGTCACAGGCAGTGTTCTCCATGGCTTCTGCTTGATCAATCTCGGTCCCCTCTTCCCCCAGCAGCCAACTAGGAACAGTGTTGTATATACATGCAGGGAAAGGTGAGCCACATGGTTGGCTAAGTTGTGGATGCCACAGATGCCTCTGAAATAGGAATCACAGTGCTCACAGATGGGCTGGTTCTCAATGTAGATTGACAAGACAGCCTCCTAAGAACAGGTGTGTGAGATGTCATGGGCTCCGAGAGGTGTGTCGGGGCGAGGGACACGATGGCTAGATGGGTGCTGACAGTTGGGCCTTCAAACTGCTCTTCTTCTGTGTTGTATTTTATCCCCAGGGTGCAAACAGCTACGGGCAGCTTGGCCTTGGCCACAAGGAAGATGTGCTTCTTCCCCAGCAACTGAGCAGCTTCTGTGAGCCCGGATGCATCAGGAGTGTCACAGGAGGTGGGGGCCATTCTGCAGCTGTCACAGGTAGCTCTCTTCTCAAATGGATAACCACTCACTTTTGTATTGAGGTGTTTCCCCTTGGAAATAGAAACCTTGCCATCTTTTAGTCTTTTGTACTTCTCAGAGAGCAGCATTTGTTTTTGTGAAAGAGCCAGATAACCATTAAGGGAATCCTAGCTTGCCAGAGCTTGAACTCCTGAGTTCCTTCCCTTCCCTTTCCCTACCCCCTTATACAAATAAGGCTCAGAGAGGAAGGCTTAAGGTCATAAGGCAAGTTGGTGAACGTTACAACCTGTTTGAGTTTTACTTTGAAACCTTTGCAAGTAGGTGAAATACCCCTTGAGATCAAGAACTTTACCTTACCTTGTCCTTAATTTTCTGTCCTAGTGCCCAGAGAGTACCGGGGGCCACATATACTTCAGCTTAGCAAAGGCAGTGTATGGCATACGATTGGGAATGGGAGCTGTGGCTCAAACTCCCTGGGCTCAGGTGCTTGTTCTCTAGTTCATTAGCTCTGCGGCTCTGGCAAGTATCTCCCTGTACAGCAGTGGTCTACTCTTACTTCTGTTGTAATGATAAAATGCCACAAGCCTCTGAAGGGGAAAGGATTCTATTCGACTTAATATTGTCTTTATTGCAGGGAGTGAAGGCAAGAACTTAAAGCATCACCTCCACAGTCAAGAGTAGAGAGAAATAAAGGCATCTTTGCCCGCTGGCTGCTTGGTCTCTTTATTCTAACACAGTTAAGGGCTCAGCCCATGAAATGGTGCTGCCCACATTCAGATCAGTTAGAAGTCAAGACAGTCCCACAGACATATCCACCTGTCAGCCTGGTCTGGATAATTCCTCATTAGTACTCCCCTTCCAGGTGATTGTAGGTTGTGTATGTTGATAGTAAATGCTAACTAGCACACTCAGTTTTCTCTCTGTCCTGTGCGGATAATAACAGTAGATAAACTTAGGGTATTTCCAGCACTGTTTTAGGGCTTTTACAGGCCTTTGGTGTTCCTGTCATCATGGATTCCTCCCTTCCTTTGTAAAGGAATGCTAAAAATTATATTTTACAACTGTACTTATATAAAGTAACTATACCTAAGAATGGCATTTGTACTATATATGAATTATTGTTACATTAAAATCAACTTAAAACAATTTGAAATTAGATAGCTTAGTTAAAGGCCTATGGGCCTTTCGAAATATTATGGGGCCTAGGTACGTGTGGAAAGGACTTCCATGCTCAGCTCTTAGGACAGCTCCTGGCACATTCTAAGTATTGAGTTGATGTTGGCGTTCCTGTGATCATAGATGCTCCATTTGGTGATATTGGCACTTGTTACAGAACTGGGAGTTTCCATTCATTCATTAGATTTGAGGCCCTTGGCCTGATTCTTTGGTTCCAGAACACATTAGCATGCATCAGTTAATAGCATTAATATGGCCACGAAGCCTATGTCTGTGGCTCCAAATAATACGTGGTAACCTTTTCTTACTTTGGGAGTTGTGACTCTCTCCCTGTGCATGCTGACACTGGAGCTTTGTTTTAACTTTGTCGTAGTGGCTGCGCCTTAATTTACTGCTATTCTTTCCGCCAGCACTTTCATCTCCACAGTTGCGGCCTGCTTCTTTGGAAGCGGTCTGGCCACTCCAGCCACAGTGTGGTGGGAATTTTGTTCCTGTGGATACCACTAACTGGAGCTTTAACTAAATCTCTATTGTTCTGTTTCTAAATAAGACCTGAGATACGAAGGCTGGGGTGAAAACCTGTGAGCTCAAAGAGGTGAAGTAACAATTAGCTAGCCCTCTCTCCTCACCGGTGCCACCCAAAGAGAAAGTCCTTATGCTCAGCCAAACCACTCCAAATCCCTCCCAGCTACTTCCTGTGTGTTTCTCTAACTCTTCCAAATGCCCTCTGATGCTCTATGAATACTTTCTGTCAACTGGTTGCTTACTCAGCCTCCTGTCTCAAGGTTCATTTTATTTTATTAATGCAAATGCAAACTTGGGGTTCACAGTGTGATCAAATATCTGTTTTGCAGATAGAGGAGGACTCTTTGTTTGTGGCCTGAATAAAGATGGGCAGTTGGGGCTCGGCCACACAGAAGATGTTCTGTGTTTTACCATCTGCAAGTCTCTCCTTGGTTGTCCAATCAGACAGGTGGCCTGTGGCTGGGATTTTACCATTATGCTCACAGGTAAGCTCTCTCTTGAATAAATATCACTACCAAAGTTTTTGGGTGATATCAGTGTAGTGTGTGTGTGTGTGTGTGGGGGAATGGTTAAATAAGAGCCTCTGTACTTTTGAAGAAAAACAAAACAAAACAAACAACAGCAAACAAACCACCCCATGAACCAGTAAGTGTTCTCTATTAGGGAAATTGCAGGGTACCTTTTACAAGGAGAATTTTAACTATAAAGGAGATTAGGCTGGAATATACATTTGCCAGAGACTGGAGGATGAACCGGATCTCATCAGGTGGTCATTTCTAGTCCCAAACGCTCATGAGAGCTATGTGCCTGGTCTAACTGACCAGGAGTGCCATAAGAGTTCTTATGTGCTCGTTGTCTTAGTTAGCATGTCTCCTGCTGTGATGGCATGCCATGACCCAAAGAACTTGGTGAGGAAAGGGTTTGTTTGGCTTACACATCACTGCTCATCATTAAAGGAAGTCAGGACAGGAACTCAAGCAGGCCGGCAACCTGGAGGCAGGAGATGATGTAGAGATCATGGAGGAATACTGCTTACTGACTTGCTCAGCCTGCTTTCTTATAGAATCTGGACCACCTGACCAAGGATGAACCTACCCAAAATGGACCCTTTTCCGTCAGTCACTGATTAAAAAAATGTTCTATAGCCATATCTTCTAGTTGGGGCTCCTCCTCTCCAGTGACTCTAGCTCGTGTCAAGTTGGTGTAAAGCTAGCTATCACTGTATAACAATGAGGGAGCAGGGATCTCACAGCACCAAGGGGCTTCCATGGTGACATTACTGAGGCTCAAACCCAGGGCTTTACATGTGCTAGACAAAGGCTCTACCACTGAGTTATTTCTCCATCTCTCCTTCAAAACATCTAGTCTCTATGAAGACAGGTCACAGAATGAGTTATGGCTGTTATGAGTTGCTAGAATAATTCTTTTGGAAGCAGCTGGTTTGTTACTCTGTTAATTGATTTCTCTGTTTAACTCTGTCCTTTCTAGCTGGGTTTAAAGGACACCTGTAGTTTCTGTCTCTTCATGCTCGTGGATCCCTAGATGTGTAGTGAAAGTCCCAGGCCTTTGCACACAGCCTTCTACAGAGGCTCCTGTGTCTGCTGCCTTCTTCTTACTTGCCAGACTCCCTGTACTTTTCTTTGTTGCAATGCCCAGTGGTCCCTGCTTCAGAACATGCCCTGTTGTACATTCACTAACCGTCGTCCAGTATTTCAGTCTTCCTCGGCTGTCACCATTTCTCTTTTGCAGAGGAGTTCCATATGTATCCAGCTTGACAGTAATCATCAGAGTCCAGATGGGCTGGGGAGGCAGCTTGCTGAGCACGGGAGCCCTGACTAGATTAGCTCTGAAGAAGAAAACCTCCTTCCATATGAAGGATTTCAATGCTAGATATCACTTTGTGAAGTACTTATTATGGGCCATGTTAGGGTCGAAAGAGGCAGAAGGGAGCACTGTTCCCAACACATCACAACAAGTTGTGAGAAAGGCACCAGTCACAGCTGGGGAACAGACTATCATATTTTTATGGATGAAGGTTAAGTTGGAAGACAGGGTTAATTATGAAGACAGGTGGTTCTAACATTCCTCTGGGACAAATTTGCCCTTGCCCTCCAAACTTTAGACTTGTCTCCAGGGGACACCCTTACTTTGCCAGGCCATACATGTCTTGTCCTTTTCTCCAGACTCTTCAGGTGAGTGTGTGGGGAAGGGCAGGGAGGAGAAAGGCCCAGAGCATCACAGTGTGCAGAATTTGTTGGCTGGAGACATGGGAAGTGGGAAACATGAAGAGGGAGTAAGTGTTCAGTCACTTCAGTACTGGGCTCTGAGTTAAGTGCTCTGCACAGGTAATTAGCCATAAAGGCTACAGGTGGCAGGTAATCTTTAGTGTGGAGGAACTGAAGAAGAAAAGTGGGGTGCCTGCTGTATCCTCTCCCCCTGTTTCCCGGTTGGTCACAGGTATCTCACTCTTAGGTCTGTAATCTGAATGCTTGTGTTTTGCAGAAATAGGTCAAGTTCTGTCATGTGGATCCAATGCCTTTGGCCAGTTAGGTGTGCCGCACGGCCCTCGCAGATGTATGGTTCCACAGACCATTGAGGTGAGGACACCTGGTTTTAGCTGGTTCTATCTTGCTGTTTCTAGGCTGTTTCTTTTATCCTCACTCATATGAAAGACTAGGTAGGTCCTTGAAAGCCCATGGAGTAATAGAACTTGAGTTGAAAATAAGTTCTTCTGTTAAAAATCAGTTTTAGGGGAATCCATGCTGGGTGGAAAATTTTTCATCTTCATGCACGTTATAAGAGTTTATAAACTTGGATAGCAGAACTGCACCTCATATGCTCATTGTTAATGACGGGAACTGTGTTACAGACAGGTCCGAGTAGAAGTGATTTGCCTCATGACACTAAGTTCAGGGTCTGGGAAGATGGTGTAGTGAGTAGAACACTTGCTGTGCAACCATGAAGATTTGAGTGTGATCTCCAGAATCAATTTAAAGCTGGGTGCAGTAGCACAAGTCTGTATGGTGCTCCAATGGGAAGATAGGAAGCTGAGACAGGAGATTGCCTGAGAGCTTCCAGGCCAGCTAGCCTAGCATATGAAGTGGCAAACAGCAAAGACCCTGTCTAAAGCAAAGTGAAAGGGGTGGAGCAGCCCTGAAGGTATCCTCTGACCTCCTTATGCTTGTGATGGTATATGTCTGCATCCACAGGCATATGCGTGCGCGCACACACACACACACACACACACACACACACACACACATATATGGAGTTTTAATGACATTTTTAAAAGATTATTTTATGCACATGTATGTTTTGCCTGTATGGGTGTCTGTGCACCACAAAGACCAGAACAGTGTATGGGCTTTAGTGTTATGATTGAGCATCTTTTTTGTTTATAGACCCAAAAGTGGTATTGTTGGGTCTTGAGGTAGATTGTTTCCTAATTTTCTGAAAAATTGCCATACTGATATCCAAAGGGGTTGTACCAGCTTGCATTCCCACCAGCAATGCAGGAGTGTTCCCTTTACCCCACATCCTCTCCAACATAAGTTGTCATCAGTGTTTTTTGATCTTGACCATTCTGACAGGTGTAAGATGGAATCTCAGAGTTGTTTTGATTTGCATTTCTCTGATGGCTAAGAATGTTGAACATTTTCTTAGGTGTATTTTGGCCATTTTAGATTCATCTGTTGAGAGTTCTCTATTTAGGTCTAAACCCCCCTTTTTTTATTGGATTATTTGTTCTTTTGATGACCAATTTCTTAAGTTCTTTGTATATTTTGGAGATCATTTCTCTGATGGTTGGCGAAGATCTTTCCCCATTCTGTAGGCTACTGTTTTGTCTTGTTGACCGTGTCCTTTGTTTTACAGAAACATCCCAGTTTCAGGAAGTCCCATTTATTAATTGTTGCTCTCAGTGTCTGTGCTTCTGGGGTTATATTTAGGAAGTGGTATCCTGTGCCAATGCGTTCAAGTGTACTTCCCACTTTCTTTTCTATGAGGTTTGGTGTGGTTGGTTTTATGTTGAGGTCTTTGATCCATTTGGACTTGAGTTTTGTGCTTGGGGATAGATATGGATCTATTTTCATTCTTCTACATGGTGATATCCAGTTATGCCAGCACCATTTGTTAAATATGCTTTCTTTTTTCACTTGATATTTTTTGCTTCTTTGTCAGAAATCAGGTGTTCAAAGGTGTGTGGATTAATATCCGGGTCTTCAGTTCCATTGGTCCTCCTGTCTGTTTTTATGCCAATACTATTGTTTTCAGTACTGTAGATCTCCAGTAGAGTTTGAAGTCAGGGATTGTGATGCCTCCAGAAGTTCCTTTATTGTACAGAATTATTTTGGCTATCCTGGGTTTTTGCTTTTCCATATGAAGTTGAGTACTGTTCTTTCAAGGTCTGTGAAGAATTTTGTTTGGAATTTGGTGGGCATTGCATTGAATCTGTAGATTGCCTTTGGTAAGACTGCAATTTTTACTGTGTTAATTCTGCCTACCCAAGAGCATGGGAAATCTTTCCACTCTCTGGTGTCTTTTTGAATTTCTTTCTTCAAAGATTTAAAGTTCTTGTCATAGTAGTCTTCCATTTGTTTGGTTAGAATTAGTCCAAGATATTTTATGTTCTTTGTGGCTATTCTGAAGGGTGTTGATTCTCTGATTTCTTTAACCCTTTTAGCATCTGTGTACAAGAGGACTACTGATTTTTTTTTAATTTAATCTTGTATCCTGCTACATTACTGAAAGTGTCTATGAGTCTTAGAAGTTCCTTGGTAGAATTTTTGGGATTGCTTATGTAAACTATCATATCACCAGCAAACTGTGAGAGTTTGACTTCTTCTTTTCCGATTTGTATCCCCCTGATCTTTTTTCGGTGTCTTATTGCTCTAGCTAGAACCTCAAGTACTATATTGAATAGGTATAGAGAGAGTAGACAGCCTTGTTTTGTTCCAAATTTCAGTAGGATGCCTTTGAGTTTCTTGCCATTTAGTTTGATATTGGCTGTTGGCAGTCAGTGCTTTTAACTATCTCTCTAGCTCCTTGACTTTTTTTTTAAAGTATAGGATCTTATGTAGCACCGGCTGCACCCAGACATATTATATAATTGAAGCTAGACTTGAACTCCTGCTTCTCCTGCCTCTACCTGCCATGGCTTTGATAACAGATGCATCACCACACCCAGCATATCTTTGGAAACTTGAAAGCTAATTTCATCTATCCAAGCTGTTGTCGTTTATATAAACATAAATGTAGCATTTGTGAGTCAGGTATTTTCCTTTCCTTTGTTTGTACTGAGGCTCTGAACTCTGTGTGCATGTTTTACTGGTTGCTTTGAATCTAATCACATGCAAGGGTTCAGTGTCCACATGTAGCAGTGACCATGGTAGAGAGTGAGTGGGAAGCAGTACATTTGGCTTTTTTTAAAGACTTTTTCTTATTGACTTTTTGTGGATTTTACATCATGCATCCAGATCCCATTCATTTCCCTGTCCTTTCATATCCACCCTCTGCCCTTGCAAACCATGCCCCCTCAATAAAATAAAATTTAAAATAAAACCAAAACAAACTAAAATACAAAAGAAAGAGAGAGAGAGAGAGAGAGAGAGAGAGAGAGAGAGAGAGAGAGAGAGAAAAGAAAGGTCAGTCAGTCTCAGTGTAGAAGCTGTAGTGAGACACAGTGAGTCACACAAAATACCCTTTAGTCTGTACATCTTTACTTGCAAGTGTTCATTGCAATGAGTTATAGATCTGATTTGAGGGCTCTGGCTTCTACTACACCATTTATACTGAGCCTCACCGGGACTCCTCTTGGATATCCTGTCCTTGCCCCATGTTATGGAAATCCTGCAGCTTTGGATCTGCAGGCCTGCCCCCTTCACATGCTCCAGCAGTTTATTGATAAGGTAGATGTTGGGATGGACCAACTCATAACCTGTGTTCTGGGCCTAGGTGGTAGTTGGGTTGGTCAGCCTGCCGGCTTTCCCTCAGCAGCAGTATCTACACTGTCAAGGTGAGCTCTCCAGACTGCTCTGGCTAGCTCATCCATTGCAGTAGGCAGCAAGGAACCGGGCCAGTTCTCCTGCTCACTCCTTTGGGGGCCGGCTCACCCACACCCTCAGGGACAGCTGTACTGTTTTGCTCAGTCGAGGTTCAGGGCCTGGGCATTTGGCTTTTGTTTAGAGCTCTTTTTATGATATCCCACATAACAGGTTTGTGAAATTTATGTGTGTCTTACTTTGCTTTGTATTCCTGTGATTAGCATCATGAACAAAAACAATTTAGGGAGGAAAGGGTTTATTTCATCTTACAGCTCTCAGGTCCCACTTCATCACCCATGACTGAGGGAGGACAAAGTGGGGACTTGAGGCAGGAACACTGCTTTCTGGCTTGCATTCAGCTTCATGTTCAGTTGCCTTTCTTTTCCCAGGACCCACTGCCCAGGAGTAGCCACTTACAGTTGACCAGGCCCTCCCAGATCAATCGATGATCAAGAAAATGTCCCACACGCTTGCCTACAGGCCGGTCTTATGGAGGTGTTTGCTCAAACGTGGTTCCCTTTTCCTGTGTATCCTAGTTTGTGTCAAGTGGGAATAAAAAGTAAAAGCATAAAATTGTAAATGGTCGTGATGAGAATAGGAAAAATTTCAGGAATACACAGAAATCAAGAACGAGTTTCTCTGACTCAACTTCCCTTCTACCACCTTACCTCTGATTAGAAGTGGAAGATGCGTTTTCATTGGAGGTCTCAGATCAGCTTCTGTCATCTTGTGGAGTTCTGTTGCTGGCCTGTGGTCTGTTATTTGTGGGTAGTGGTTCTGAAGGGCTGCACAGAGTCTAGTTCTGCAGAGCTCTGGGTCCCCCCGTAACTCCCAGGAGCAAATAGGTGGCCTTTAAGAACCTACATATGTTATAATTAATTTACCTTAATTATAGTTGATATAATTAAAGAATACGGGAAGGGACAATGGTTAAAATACGTTGGATAGCAGAGTCAGTAACTAAGAACATTTTGATGGGCTGTGTCCCATGTGGCAATGGGAGGGATATACCAGAATGAGAACTGTTGAGACTCTATTTATGGATGGCACTGCCATGTTTGGGCATTGGATTAAGTCGTAAGTACAGTGGTGGTTAAGATCTGTCTTAGCGCCTGAGAGATTTGTAGTGGCTCATGGTAAATACATGCAGTGTCATTGTCATGCCAGAGTCATGAGAGATGCTCATATAGTCCCAAGGGAGGAGGATTGGACTCTTATCTAGCGGGAAGTTTACCTAAGTCCTGGAGTTGAGTTAGGTTTCCCTGGCTGGGGCTAACAGGATACAGAACATGTGCCAAAGAACATTCTAGGCCAAAGGAACAGTGCGGATGATGATGTCAGCAGGTGGTCAGGCTGGAATATGGGAAAAGTGAAAGTACCTAGGTGGAGTGGGTACGCACAGGTAGTAGTAGCACATAAGATAAAAGCTTAGAGAGATGGGCCATTGGTTATTTTAGGAAAAAGGAAGGCAGGAAAGAAGATGTGTTTAAAGAACCATCTACTCAAACTGTTTTGGCAGTCAGATTTTATTTTGCCCGAGGCTAATGTGATTGGAGACACCAATGTCAGAAGTATAGTCTCCAGAAAGGAGCCAGAGCCTTGCCCTTTGTGCCAGTCAGATTGATCTGGTATGATTTGGTGTTTTGGTGTGATCTCTTGTGCACTGGAGCACAGATTCTAGGCAGAGTGGTTCTTAAGACTTGTTCTTAGCTTTTACACTGTTGTTGAAAAGAGAATGACTGAGGGACAGGGACACAGCTCAGCATGCAGAAAGCCTTGTGTTTAATCTCCAGTATGGCCTGAACCGGACATGGTGATACATGCGTTTAATCCCAGCACTTGGGAGGCAGAGGTAGGAGAATCAGAAGTTCAAGGCTTTCTTTGGCTACATAGCGAGTTTGAGGCCACCCTGGGATATATGAGGCCACAGGGGAAGGAACAATCCAGAACCTATCCAGAGGAGGGAAACTTAGTGATAGCTGCTGCAGCTGGGATGTTTGTCTAGAGTTCTTCATTAGTTATCTACTGCAGTGAGACAGTAGCTACAACAAGCATTATGCCACCATTTTTGAGGGTCTGGAATGGGACCTCTGAGCTGATTTTTCACAAAGTAGCAGTGAAGACATAGCTAGGTACATACCTTTATGGGCTGGACTGGGGTCCAGTCTCATTGCCAAACTCTTACGATGCTTCTGGTGGGAGTCACAGTTCCTGCTCTGTGGACCTTTTTGTACACCTGGCAGGTGGCTTTCTTAAGAGGAGGCCTCAGTGCCTCTGACTCACTCTGCTCCTTTATTCTTTCCGGTAGAAGTGTGTCAGTAAGCCCAGCCCACACAGGGGAGGGGAATCAAGCTCTGTGACTTGAAGGGAGTAGTATCAAAGAAATTGAGGACCTATTTTTAAAACCGCCGCATGATGTATTAGAGAGGACATGACAACTGTCTTCAAATATTTGGAAAGCTTTGTCAGAAGCTAAAGGCAGCTGGGTTTGGCTCCATCTAAAGAGATACATGGAGATGTGCAAGGATGGAGCAGGTGCCTAGGGAGGTGGTGAGCCCCATGTTACCGGAGGCAGCTACTGGGCAGGGGTTGAATGATCACTTAAGGAAGAGCTTCTAGCCTTGGCTAAGGATAAAACTGGGTCAGGAGGGAACACTGAAGCCCTTGCTATTTAAGTCTTATTGGAGCACAGCCATGCTTTCTCATCTCTAGCTGTTTGATGTCACAGAGCTGAGCTGTGTGGCAGGAGCCATACGGTATTTGGTTGTTTTGGGGAAATGTTTACTGGATGACTTTGGAGGTCCCCCCCCCACACCCTTGAGAGGCAGTGCAATGTAGTACTATGATACAATATTTTTAAAAAGTTATATTTCAGGGTTAGGGCGATGGCTTAATGGTAAGAGTGCTTGTTATACAAGCATGGGAACTTGGATTTCAATCTTCAGAACTCATGCAAAAAAAAAAAAGCCAAAGTAAGGGCAAGAGAGATGTCTCAACCATTAAGAGTAGTTGTGGTTCTTGCTGAGGACCTAGATTCAGTTTGCAGTACCCACAACCGTATGTAACTCTAGTTCCATGGGATCTGATATTCTCTTCTGACCATCACAGGCACTAGGCATGCATATGGTACACATTTAGGAAGAACAGACATATACATAAAATAAAATACATCTTTAAACAAAGCCAGGGATGACTGTGTATGCCTATAACTCCAGCACTGAGGGAGCTCAATGGCCACTGAGCCTTGCTGAAACAGGGAACTTCCAGTTTAGTGAGAGACCCTGATTCAAGGCAGTAAGGCAGAGAGTGATAGTAGAAGATACTCAGTGTCTTCCTTTGGCCTCCTTGTGCCCACACACTCATGTGCACGCAACACACACACTCTTGTGCATGCAACACACACACACTCTTGTGCATGCAACACACACTCAAGTGCATGCAACACACACTCTTGTGCATGCAACACACTCTTGTGCATGCAACACACACACTCTTGTGCATGCAACACACACGCTCAAGTGCATACAACACACACATACACACTCAAGTGCATGCAACACACACTCATGTGCATGCAACAGACATACAAATACTTAAGTGCATGTAACACACAAACACATATGTGCATGTAATGCGTGCACATACAACTGCACTCAAGTACATACAACACACACATGCATACAACACACACTCATGTGCATGCAACACACAGACTTTCATCTCTGATAAATAAAGAAGCATTTCTGAGTGAGCATATTGGGTGGGGGTGCTTCAGACTGAATTGAGTTTGTACGAGTTACACGATATTTTATAGATGAATGATTCTGAGAGTAAATCCTGTTCTTTCTTTGGACAGCTCCTGAGAGAGAAGGTTGTTTGTGTCGCTGCTGGACTGAGGCATGCGTTAGCCACTACAGGTAGACCACCCAGCCTTTATTTCTCAAGTGAGCCCATTCTGAGCAGTAGAGCTCCAGGAAAACTTTGTAAGGGGTGTCGGCAAGGGGCCGGCTGTGCTGTAGCTCCAGTTGAGAGGAGAGACCACAAAGTAGAAGTCATTGGAGAGTCTTCTTCAGGGGAGGAAGGGAGTGAGCTGTCTGACTCTCTTTGTTGCAGACATGCTGCTAGGTTTTTCATAATTTTATTCTCTCGTTCAGTCCTTACAGCCAAGGAGTGTTGTTAGTTAAAGTCTCACCCACAGGAGTTTGTAGACGCACGTGTAAGGGAGGGAGGAAGAGCTGGAGACTGTCAGTGTGGACTCTGCGGCCAACTGTGTTGCCTTCCTGCTGGATTTTAACATTGGTGGATGGACAAGCTTTAAGTGCATTGTCTTCTGTACATGAGTGGGCAGCATGTATACGGCCACTGGAGGGCAGGTGACATTAAGGTAAATAAGACTCTGGCCTTGGTTTGAAGATCCTAAAGGTTAGAAAACAATTGATACATAGATAGCTCTCATGGGCACCAGGCATACATGTGGAGAACAGACAAACATGCAGACAAAACATTCATACACAAACAATTTTTAAAATGTGAAATCTTGAGTTTTGAGAGAATTATAACCCCACATGAAATTGCTAAAAAACAAACTAGATCCCCACAAGTTCTTTTCCCAGCATCCCTCAGTGGTAATACCTTGCAGAATTAACAGTGCAGTAGCTCACCCAGGATGCTGATGCTGATACAGTGAGGATGCAGAGGAATTTATCACCACGAGTTTTCTCCTGCTGCTCCCAGCCTTTTCTTAGCCCTCAACAACCGTTCCTGTTTCTCGTGTTTGTAATGTCACCTCTGAAATGCCCTAAGATGCTCCCATACAGTACTTGACCTTTAGTTCCCTGGGTATCTGTCTGAGCCATGTGTATCCATGACTGATTCCTTTTCATGACGAATAGCGTGGTATAGATGTGGCACTGGATTAGCCTGCCAAAGCTGTTATAACACAGTACTGCAGCCCAATGGCTTAAATGCCATACCGCCCCCCCCCCCCCTTCTCCCTGTTCTAGAGACTGGAAGCCCAGGATGAGTTTCATTAGGATTGTTTCTGGTGACACTTTCCTTGGCTTGGAGATGCCTAACAGGCTCTTCCTCTGAGCATCTGTGCAAAGACAGCTCTCTCATGACTCATACGTACAGGCACTAGTCCTAATGGACTAACCCCACTTCCCATAGGTACTGCTCAGCTTTCCTAACCTCTGTAATGCCCTGTTTCCAAACAAAGCCACACTAGAAATTAGGGATTCCACACCTGGATATTGGGGGGTGGGGCACAGGACAGTTTATAAGAGCCAGTTTGTTTAACTAGTTATTCACTGAGGAATGTCAAACTCGTTTCTAGTTTTGGCCTATTTTCAATAACCTATAAACATTCGTGGACAGTTTTTTATAGGAATGTAGATTTTATTTCTTTGGATTAAGTGGGTTAAGGAGGGTGACTGCTGAGCTGTGTGGTAGTGACTACTTGTTTATAGATGGCTCTTCTCTTAGAAACCTGCAGGGCAAGGCCAGGCGGTGGTGGCACATGCCTTTAATCCCAGCACTCGGGAGGCAGAGGCAGGTGGATCTCTGTGAGTTTGAGGCCAGCCTGGTCTACAAGAGCAAGTTCCAGGACAGGCTCCAAAGCTACAGAGAAACCCTGTCTCAAAAAAAACGAACAACAACAACAAAAAAATCCGCAGGGCAATGGGCTAGAGAGAGGGCTCAGTGGGCCAAGCACTTGCTACACTAGTATGAGGACCTAAGTTAAGTTCCCCAGCACCCTACTAGAGCAAGGCATGGTTGTGTGTATCTGTAATCCTTGTGCTTCTATGCATTAAGTGGCCAGAATCCCCAGAAGCAGACAGGCAGTAAACCTTGTGTATGTAGCCAGTAGACAAAAGACCCTGCCTTAAGCAGGGTAGAGAGGGACGTGGTTTGACTTTGTTCCTGCCCCCCCCCCCCCTTTTAATTCTTCATATAGAATGTAGAGGTTCAGTTGCTATGGAAAGCAGTATAGTGGTGCCATATAACCAGTCATAGCTTTGCTTTTTTTTTTTTTTTTTTTTTTTTGTTTTGTTTTGTTTTTGTTTTTTTGTTTTAGGTAAGTCTCACAATATAGCCCTGGCTGGCCTAGAACTCACTATGTAGACCAGGCTGGACTTGTACTCACAGAGATCTACCTGCCTCTGCCTCTGCCTCTTGAGTGCTGGGATTAAAGATGTGTGTCATCACTCCCAATTTGACAAATAAATTTTATAAAAGGGAAAAAGGAGGGAGAGGTAACGAGATCAGCAGTGTATAGGATGAAAGACACCAGCTATAACTGACACATACAGCAACTGAGACAGGAACAGTTCCTCGGGTGTCCGTTGACAGGTGAATGGGCAAGCACAATGGGGCGCACACATGTGTAGTCCCCCGTCCCTCCCCCAGGGATAGTATGAGCTTTAAAAGGTATAGAACTGTTGAGAGGCTTCTCCCTAGATGAACATGGTGCTGAATGGCATAAGCCAGTCATAGAAAGGACAAATGCTGGCATTCTCTTCATATGAGTAGTCAAAATTAGAGACACTGAATGGTAGCACCATGGCAGGGGACCAGGATGGGAGTTGAGTGGGTACAGTTGAGTGTTGCAGGATGAAGCAATTTGGAGATGGGAGGATAATGGTTGCATACCACGGTGACTGTGTGGTACACTGGGTTAGACACTTAAAATGGTGAAGGTGATATGTTTTACACTGTACATATTTTACAATAAGATATTTTAAAGAGAAGCTGGAGAGACCACTCATTGGTTAAGAGTACTGACTGTAGAGGACCCCACATGATGGCTCACAGTGGTCTGTAACTCCAGTTCCAGGGAATTGACATCCTCTTCTGGCCTCTGCAGAAGCCAGGCACACGTGGTGCAGTTATACATGAAGGCCAAACTCTCATACATATAAAATGAAAACTAATATTTGGGGAAATTTTCAAAGGGAAATAATTCACTCTTTGAGACATTGTGGACATATCAAGCAGTTGTTGTATGCAGGCAAATTCTGCTCTTGGAGTTTATCTGCTGGTTGTAGTCTTGGTTTATTTCAGGCCTCTCCTGTGCATTATTGTCAGTGAGCATAGCTGCTGCTTCATAAAGCAGGCTTGTCTGTTGCAATATGAGAGTGCTGGCTGTAGAATGGTCCAGAGGAGCAGACCTTGATGTTGGTTTAGCTGGTGGATCCATGCAGTGCACATCTGACTAGCTGCCAAATGCATAGGATTTTATCTGTGCATTTCTATGGGGTTTGGGATGTGGGTACGTAGGTTCAAAAGGCCATTCTACTGAAATAATGACTGCCATGCTATCTTGAAGTCACAGATACACTTGTATTTGACAATAGAAAATCCAAATTCACCTTGGGACAGAAAGGCACTACCTTGAGTGTCAGCTGAACCCCAGTGTTTTTTCTGCTATTGATTCCCCATGCAACCATGGCCAAATCACAATCTCTCTTCTGGATCCTCGATTTCTCATGTAGTGAATGTGGGGTGTGGACTCAGTGGTCTTCAAGCTTCCTTTCAGGTTAGCCATGAGCAAGTCAGCATTCCAGGAGCGTTGCTGTGGGGCAATGCCTGGGACTTTGAGAGGAAGTTTTACTACACTGGAGTTTTCTCGTGCTCTTAGATTGTCTGAAAAGCTGGATTTGTGTTTGGCTCAGAGGTAATTCCTGTGGCAGGTCACAGGCCCTTGAAGCAGCCCCTGTGTAGCACTCACCTTGGCTGCAGTTCCATTGGGAATTTCCTGTAGCAGTGAGGGTCTAACAGCAGTGTAGTTTAACTTGACACACATTTTCTCTTTTCCTTTCGTCTCTGCTGGGAAGTGAGTGGCAGCGTGTTCCAGTGGGGGACTGGCTTGGCATCTTCTGGACAACGCTTGTGTCCTGGGCAGACTCTGCCATTGTTTTTGACAGCAAAGGAACCAAGCAGAGTGACAGGTGAGCTCCTTATTTCTTTATAGTCTTTGATTACTCTTTGTGAGGAAGTAAGTAGACCTTCAGAAGATGGGTAAGTGAAGTTTCCATCTCTCAGTATTTTTCTAAACATTTTATTTTGTATGTCTTCCCTGCATGTATGTCTGTGCATCACTTGCATGCCAGGTGCCCGGGGGGGGGGGGCAGAAGAGGGTGTTACATCCCCTGGAATTGGGGTTAAATACGGTTGTAAGTTGGTGCTGAGAACCAAATTCAGGTCCAGCCAGTACTCTTAACTGCTGAGACATCTCTCTAGCCCTAAGCCTTTGGTATTTCTTGATCTTTCTAATGCTCTCTCTTGGTTGGGATGTCAGTATTTTTGTAATTTTTGTGGCCCCAGGAAACTCGCTATCTTTGCCACCAGAGTCTGGGACCTGTTGATTGATAGATGCCTGGAGGTAAGTGGAGACCAGCAAAGAAGTTCTAGACTGGGTCATAGCTACTTGGAAGTGATGTAGGAGTTTGGAAACAGGATGTAATAATCTAGTGAGTCTGCAAGTCCTGAATCCTAGGTGCAAGTTACCCACAAGGCATCTGGGTGACTGCTCAGGATCAGCCCTGCTGAGTTTCCTGTATGGCCAAGGGGACAGAAATGACCTCAGCGCAGGCAGTTATACTCCACAGAGAAGACACTGGCTGTGCCTCTGTGCCATTTCCTTCTGCCATAAGGGAAGCAGGAATGAGTAAGTATGTAGAGCAGGCATGGGGTGTCTCCATGTGGAAACACAGTAGGTGATTTGCACTCTGCTCATGGGTCTGCTGGTGGGTCTTATTTTGATTTGTTGACCTATAGGTACCACCCCCTCCTTTCTTTTCTCTTTTTTGTCTTCTACTCTCAAGTCCTCTTCAGCTCTTTGTCTCTGAACTCCACTCTCTTTGTAGGTCTTTCTGATTTGTGTATGGTACCATGTCTATCTCTCCTCTCCCCTCCCCTCCCCTCCCCTCCCCTCCCCTCCCCCCCCCCCCCC